GCCGCAATTTTCTTTAATACACTACCTGCCGAGTGGCGCAGACACCACCGTACCTCTACATTTGCAAACCAACTCAGGGATCTTTTTAAAGACCCAGTGGCGTTTAAGTGCTTTCGCATTTTTTCCTGTTATTACCTTAGTGCTAGGATTATCATTTTCATAGGTGTTGTTTCTTCTCACTCCATTTCTCTTTATTATTATTATTAACTTTTATTTTACTAGGGTGTTTCTCACAGCCCTATGGTCTTCTTACGGGAGCCCCTAGGAAGGTTATGCATGAGCGAATAAATGAGCGGTAATCGGTACAAGTACGAACAGTGGAAGGCAGCATATTCCACCGGTCAGCAGCGAGATAGCCAATCCGAGAAAAGCCAGCCGTACTCTGTGCTGGGGGTAATGCCAAAGAAAAAGACACCTGGGATCTCGTAGTGGCAGTGGTGTGAGAGCTACAGCAGCGGCTGGTAAAGATTTCTTGAAGCAAAGAGCTGCATGTTCCGCTATGGATGCACCGGAACAAAAGAATGAACAATTTCAAATTGACGCGCACCGAAATATGATAAAGGCTGTAAAGGCTAAGAATGTGTGAAGCACTGGTAAACTTATCAAAACCAAATACTATTCTGAGGGATCTATTGAACAAACGGACATACTTATCATAGTTCATAGAACTTAGGGAATGGATATAAGCGCTGCTTGCATACTCCAAGGTTGACTGAATGACACTTAAATAGAAGGTACGCCGAGCATGGTATGGCAGAAGATGGCGGGATAAGCGGTATGCACCAAGTTTCCTGTTAACAGAGCCTACAAGGTTGTCTATTTGTGGGCCAAAAGTCAAGTTTTCGTCAAGTACAATACCCAAGTAGCGAGCAGACTGCGTGCGGGGAACATGGACACCATCAATGGTGACATAGGCAGACATCGGGACATCGGTGGTCTTGCGGTGGAGCAGTATGAACTTCGTTTTAGCCGGATTTAATTTCATTCGCTTTCCTTTCAGATAATCCGATAACTTAATAAGATCGCCGTTCAATTTGTCCAGGACTTCTTCAGTAGTGTCACCAGCTGCATACATGTTAACGTCGTCAGCGAACTGAAGTACAGATGAGGCACTCACACATCCAGGAAGGCCTCTTACGTAAATGCTGAATAGCACTGGGCCCAACACAGACCCCTGCGGCACTCCTTGGCTGCACGATGCAGGAATCAGATTGTCCGGCGCTATGAGCTGCTGTGTCCTGTCACTCAGGTAATCTTTGAACCATGCCAAAGCCGCATCACCAACTCCACAATTAAAAAGTTCGTTCAGTAGCAGCTGATGGTTGACGCTGTCGAACGCCTTCCTCACATCTGCGAGAACGACGCCAACGACCTTCTTCGAATCGAGATCCCTTTGCCAGCTGTCGATCGCAACAGCCAGAGCCTCTTCACATGAGTGATGCCGTCTGTACGCAAATTGTTGTGGCGGGATGATGGTGGGGTTCTCCAGTAGGAGGTCCCCACCATCGTGTATACTGCGAATCAGGCATCACCCTCCCTCCCTCCCCCTCAAAAATTAATTGGCTGAGAAAATTCAAAGAGAAAAACGCACAGATCAGGACTTACAAGAGTACCGGCACAACATGTGGGGCCTGAACTCCCACCAGAACAAGAAGAAAACCAGGGAGTAGTACAATACTCCCTGAAGAAAACCATACCATTAGGGTTTTTTGTTGAGCTTGAAAAAGTACGTACTGAGTACTGTACTCCCTGCATGCTTACAACTGAAAAAGTGTGAAAGCCAAAAACTGTGTACCGTGATGGCTGCGCTGACCCCTGACAAGTCGAGCTATATACAGATAGTGCACGGATTGGTCCTGGGAAGAATATTTTTCATAATCCCCGCGGCGCTGCGCGCCTTGGGGATTATGAAAAATATTCTCCTTGGATCCGTGCACTATTATCCTATCTATACATGTACATAATTACGGACGGCCCCACAGCCACAGGCCGCGGGTCTCTGGTCACACAGTCACTGAGGGAAAATTTGAAAATAATTCGTGGTTACCATGGATAGTTGCCGCTGAGCGGGAGACTTGAGAGATTTATAGGCGACTAGCAGCACCCCCGGCCAGCGTTGCCTGGCCGAACGTGGCATGCGGGTGCACCGGTGAAGCAAGTACATGAACAGCACACGTGCTCAGCACGTGGTGGTGGCCAGACCGCTGAAGTCCTGGTGAGGGAGGTTCTTCATCGTTGGAAGGAGAAGGAGGGACGTCTGTTACGCCTTCGGGAGGCTGGTCAGGGTTGTCCATCACCTGGTGGCGGATGAAGCGGCTCAAAAAATTCATAAAATTACGAACAAAAGTGCGATTCGCTCTTCACTGCATAGCAGATCAGATGCAGAGTGCAGTCAGTGCAGATCTTTTTAGTCCATCGGCCAAATCTCAGAAAGGGCCTCTTTCGGCGAAGGTGATGCACTGAAGCTCCAACTAAACGCCCTTTGCCTTGGCACACTAGCTCATGAGACCCCATAGAATACGAATCCGTTTGTTGGACGTTGCCAATCCAGTCCAGGATAGTCGAACTGGGTCGAATACCTTCTTCCGATTTTCGTAATTTCGTCCACCATTACATCTTTCTCATCGACTTTTTTCCGCTTGGCGAATGTTCTTGAGCCGCTGAGCAGAATCTACGCACGCTCGAACACTTGAAATGCCTGCATGTTGACGGTTCGCAAGATTCTAGCGAGCTTGGTGGAAATCTATTATTTATTTTGACATTTTTGGGGGAATCTGAATTAGAACGGGAGAAGCTCATTCGGAGAAGACGGCGTGTCGCCGCTGTCGGATTGTCGCTACTGTGTTTCAGACGTATTTGCTTGAACGTGCTATTGAGGATGGACAGAAGATGAAGTGACGGCTTTCTTGAACACGGACGTTTTGTCTACATTGTAGCTGAAACATCTCATCTGGCGTCTAGAACGCAATTATTATGAGTTGTGAGTGCCAGCTGAGCTGAACACAAGCTGGACACCATTCGTCCCCGACATAATGTATTATCAGGATTCGACCTGTACTGATATTGTTGCAGCCCAGATAACAGACTAGCCACTTCTAGGCTTTAACCATCATTTTACTGGGTCGTGATCCTGTTTGAATGTGCGAAGTAAAATAAAAACCAACAACAAAGGATGGATTTCCGACGAACATTCTCTTCACTTTCTTTGCCCGCTGCTACCACTAGATATGGCATGTTCTCTATTTCTTTCCTTGGCGCTGATAGGCGGAATTCTCTGCCTGTCTCGTGTCGTCAGGCTGAGCATCTATCCGTTTTTGTTTCGCTCTGTAAAGAGCACTTAGGGTTCCCTGTAACAAGACGGCAAGTCCTTCCCTATCAAAATAATAAATTCTACTACTATTCTACTACATACATTGTAACTTTGTAAGCCAGTCTAGTCAACGGCACAGGGCAGGTCCCCCCCCCCCTAGTACAGTCAGACCTAGGGACCGGCGGATTATGCTCGGAAAGGTGGCAGATTCTGCTCGAAGAGCAGTGAAATTGGCAGAACCATACAAACCTTATGGCGGGCCATTCCTCGAATTCTGCTCCATTTCTTTATCCACATCATGACCAAACATGCATGAAACTTATCTGAAAAAGTACCGAATTCTGCCAATTGTTCTGCCGGCAGAATCCGCCGGACCTTGTAGTCAGACCTCGCTTATCCGGATCCCTCGTCATCCGGAAGAAATAGCTGGTTACAGGGAGAGATTTACAGCGTACGTGATGCATCCAACATAACCGGTGCTCGGGTATCCGGTTCCCTCGCCTATCCGGATATCTTTTTGACTCTGTCCCTCCAGGAACTTGCGATTCCGCGGCCGCGTTGTTTTTCGCGATTTGAACAAAAGTCCGGGATATCCAAGATATTTGAAAAATCATCCGCGTTATTATAGAAAACTGTCCTTGATACATGTACTTGAAAAGCACCGCGATATTTCGAAAAGCAACCGCGATATTCGAGTCTTTCTTCGATGTTGTTTAGTTCTTCAAGCTCGTCAGTAGTTTACTTGTGAGATCGACACTAGAATGGAGAAGTTTCTGGGCAAATCAGCGGCTGACAAGTCACAAAATAAGGCTCGCGTCGAGTGTTGTCCGAGAATATGAGGAAAGCTGTCTTGCAAGCTCCTGTCAGGCAGTTGAACACAGTCAGCGCAGCACACGTTCTGTTTTGTCATGCATGATTTATGCTGGACTCGTACACCGTACTGTCCCCGGGGAAAATCGCGATTCCGCGGCCGCGTTTTTTTAAAGACCGCGTTTTCCGCGATTTCCCCCCCCCCGTTTTTTGAACTTTTTTGTTGCACTACACGTACACACACTGACAGTGCACTGTTTGGTCAGCAACGTCTCATCGTGGCTGCTTTGTACTCAAATATGACGAGTGCTTACACCAGAGACTTGTAACTGATTGATTTCACTACATACTCACTGAAAATTGCCTCATATCAACTGCAAACTTGCCGCATATCAATAATATTCACCGCAAATTCACCGCGAATTATGCCATGTTATGCCGCGTTTTTTTACGATTTTTCCCGCGATATCCCCCGGGGACAGACCGTACACCACTACAGTACAAGTACCAAAATCGGCCGCAATTTCCGCAATTTTACCACAATAATCCCGTAATATTTGACAAAATCCGCAATATTCCCCACAATTTGTGGCATTTTACCTCGCATGCAACTTTTTCTGTGATATTTCCGAAATGTCTCCGCAAGTTTCTGGAGGGACAGATTTAATTTTGTGGAAAACGGATGTGTGCGGCGACGTCTGGCTGTAGACTGTAGAACCCAGTGGATGAGAGATCAATGCATTGATTTCGGCTCTAAATTTTGAAAAAATTTGAGCGGAGCCACCACTCCCCAGGAGTAAAGTGTGCCTCAGATGACTGACCGTACCACCGGTCACCGGAACACATGCACTCTGAATTACATTCCGACACCCCTGGAGAATGTTTTTTTCATAATTTCATTTTCCATCTTTTATTATTTCCACGGCAACGGAGTAATGAATGACGATGGTAATGACGATAATCTACATGTGGTACACATACAGGTACGTACGGACTATTCCTAACTTTATGGGCTATGTATTGCACTATTGCAGCAGATTCAGCGATAGCGCCGATATCGAGATTAGGCACACACTTGAAAATCATAGAAAAACGGATCGACAACGACGGGTCCGCTAGCCTACAATAAATGAAACGCAAAGGGTGGAGCACATCAAAGCTGATACTGTAGGCTAGTGTAGCATTGCTGACACCTACCCATGGTTCCCTGCCAGAGTAAGCATGACCACAGCAGGAGCTAGACCTGATCGCACATTACGATTCCTCCTTGATCATCTCACGAAGTTGAGGGATGGCTGCTGCGAGATTCTCGAACTGGTTCACATTCAGAGAGATACCCTTCTTGGTGGCCTGAAAATCATCTGCGGGGGAATCCTCCGGAACCCAGTACCTGCGAATATCCACATAAACCTTGCCTTTATGATTCTTGACTTGAGTTCGAATAAGTTCACCTTGATAGTCGCCAGTTCCATGGTGGATGTCCATGATGGACAGAGAGCGCAGCTGGATCCCAGCCGGGCGCAGGGCGCGGGCACACCTCAAAGCGAGACTCATGGTTCCTTTGAGAGAATGAGATACAACGGAGCAGAAATTGCAATCACCGGTAGTTGCCAGGGAGTCGTAAAACACGGTATTTAATTTTTAGGACTACGAGTACCTGGACTATAGTCTGTTTCAAAAAGATTTACAATCAGGTTTGGGTCTTAAAAAGTATGAAGATAAGGGAAATTTGGACAACAAAGTACATAGAATGGCTTGTTAGGACACGGCAAATTGTTCTGTGAAGGTTTCGGAACAATTGGACCAACCGTTAAGGAGTTAGAATTTCGGCCAGGTTTCCGGCCTTTTCCCATGGTTTACAATTTGCCCAGGAAGCCAGTATCGATTTTTTATCAAAACCCACGATTTATCCTTTCCTTTTTGGCCTTGTGGTTATGAATGCTGTCTGCTGACCATGAAGTTGTGAGTTCAAATCCCAACCTCACGTCAAACTTTTTTTTCATTGTTTTGGTGATCAAGCTGGTACAAGACAAAGAAGGTGGCTGCACCAAACGACTTGTTGTTGGAGCTCGCGCTTCCTGCCGAACTGACTGACACTTTGTCTTTGACTGGCTCACGCCATGTGAACACACCCACAACACTGCAATGGTGTGAGTGAATTATAATGGAAGTCATCGCGCTGTAGCTTTTTGAGATTTATTTTAGTATTTCAAGATCGCCAATTTATTTGAATTTAGCAGTCAACGCCGCCTTCTATCAGCGTTCACAAGCGTTTGCTTTTCTCAAAATGTCGTCGAAGTCACACGGATAGCTTTGCCAAGTCATGGCCTTGGGAATGAGTCCGTGTCGATGTCGTTTTCGTCACACGGTGAGTAAATTGCATCGCAGCTCAAAGAAACTATTTTGGTCACAAAACGGACCCATGCAGCTCGTCAACATTTACAACACTTTCGTTTCGACATGTCCTCTCTGACTCCATTATCGATACGAGGAAGAACTCGTTTGTTGTAAACCAGACGTACGTCCATGACTGTGTCAACGTGAGTGAGTTGTCATTTTTCCTGCTTTCGCGCGGAATATTTCTTCGAGTTCACAGTGAGTTTTTCCAGGCAGCGCTCGAGTGCTCATACGGTAAGACGTCAAACTCCGCGGGCGATCGCCAGGGTTGTAAATCTTTTTGAAACGGACTGTAGAAAGTGATCTGCATGCGTTTTGTTCGAGCACGAGTCTTTTGTCGGTTTGAACGGATTCGTGGTACCTGTACAGTGCTAGTGTACGACTTTCCGCGGCTTTTCCTGTTTCGCGCAATAATAGTCACGTGTGCACGTGCAGAAAAGTGACGAACGCCATAATTATTATGCCCTCATACTCAGAGTAGCATTGTCAGGCGAAGCGCCAGCACCCCAAATCAAGACTTTTTTTTATTTTCCGTGGCGGGAAATCGAGCTTTTCCAGGTATCTACAGCCTGTAGAAATTCAACGCTGAGAATTTCCAACTATTGTCCGGATTTGGCCCTCTGCCACCGACCTATCCTTTGAAGGAGAATGCTGAAACCAGTTGGTTGCTCTTCAGTAGTTCTTTCTCTATCGTACACATATTTTTGTATGTCGACACATGCTGTGTGCGACGACGTAGACACTTCTCAACACTTGAGTGACTTGAATTTGGCCATGATGACCGAATGTCATTGGACCGTGGAGTCGAGTAGAGGGCTCAGGCTCGATCGGCACAACGGGTACGTATAGCACAAGGGTAGGGCTAATGATATATCAAGTTGTTTGTTGTGCACAACCTTGGGGCGGAATTCGGCACGAAATTCTCTGCTCGCCAACTGTTGAGTATACCATGCAATACGTAGGTTTAAACTCATGTTGCAGTGCTATCACGGTTGCAACCCTCTTTCAAATGTTGACATAGCCAACAACCACATAATCCATATCAAATCTTGCCCCTTGTTTTCTTTCTAAGTGTGAAAAATAGAAATAATACCAGTCCTAATCATTGGAAAATGCAAATCACGGTCTATTATCGACACATCGTACTGTCGCGGACATGGAAATCCAGTCGATTGACCGGGGCCGGCGCCCTCAGCGCGTACAGAACGTTGCATGCAGTGCAAATGTTGATCCAATGCGACCATCAGCAGCGCATGATAAACCGTGCTACGGCTGCATGGCCAGCGCCCTGGGGCGCTATACGTGCGACCGGATTTCCATGTCCACGACAGTAGTACCATGCAGCCTGGTAGTGCATTTGGAGCAGGAAAGTGAATGGTAGCACTGCGGTGGTGAACACATGAGCTGATGACAACCATCGTCGTCTTGTTGGTTTGTGTTGTCTCCAGTTCATTGCAGGTTGAATGAGGAATGAACGTCTACTCTTTCTTTCCAAAACTGGCTGGGCACACGCCAATGAGACGGAAGCTAGTGCCAAACCAGTCCTTGGAAGTTTTGTTGTGCTGCTGGACTTTCAATCATCATGTAAAGTATAATTATACTCAACCAGCTAATCCGGTTTCTGAGTCTTCGTGTGAGCCTGAAGAGCTACACTGTGTAGAGATGTTGGAAGTTTATCCTGATCACGACACTGCACCAAGTACAAGCACTTCCTCGGCACTGCGTGAGCCCTGTTCTGTGTTTCCTGTGACCAGGAGAAGCAACTAGAAATTTGGAGCTTGAGCTGGAACGCTGGTGCTCTCTCTCTCTCTCTCTCTCTCTCTCTCTCTCTCTCTCTCTCTCTCTCTCTCTCTCTCTCTCTCCGTCACGTTCTGCCACTGTCCGAAACCGGTGCATGTGCTAGCATGTCGAAGCGCATTGTGTCTGAGTCACGCACTCTCCTGCTCCTCCCTCATATGCCCAAGACAGTATGACCAACTATGAATACAGTTCATGCCCACATGTGAACTTGTGTGATTCTCTTGTAGTAAGCTGCCACGTGTGTACTTGCAGGTGTTGTGTACATGTGTGTGTGTGTGTGTATGTATGGGTCTGCGTTCTCCTATTCTCTCTCCGTTGCCCCTCCGAGGCCCACGCAACCCTTGTGGCAGTGGCTCGACAGCACAGGGCAGGTGTGTGCGCGCGCGCGCGTGCATGTGTGTATGTGGGTGTGTGTGTGTGTGTGTGTGTGTGTGCGCGCGCGCGCGCGCGCGTGCATGCAGATGTGTGTGTGGGTGTGTGCGCACGCTGATGCTCAGCTCTCCAGAATTATGTCCGTGTGCGTAGCCAGTGTATGGTGGCAACATAGCCTTCCTTCATGTATATTTGGGATGCTTTACTGTTTTTGGTGGGATCCAGTTACATAGTTTTCTGTTCAATTATTTATGTTTATACAGCTGCTGTATTTGTAGTGCAATTTTATGTCTTTCTGCTGGTCAATTTGTCGTCTAGATGGTGTTCTAATGCTGATATACATAGAAAATATTACCCTCAGAAAGTGTGCTCGTTGTGAAGCTGTCCTTCTTTGGGCTCAAACCATTGCTCGTGTATAGGTAGATACATATCAGTGGGTTCGATTGGTGGCGAGAGGTCAGCCTAAATTGTTTGGGGCGGAATTCGGCACGAAATCCACGCTGAGTACTTTTTGACGACGAGTTGCGTCGGTCTTGAAAACTCTGCGAGAAAGCGAGGAAAATGATGTCGCTTGGAGCTTTCCGCGAAACTTAGGGCAGCTAATGCCCGCACCTTCCCAAACATTGCCTCGGAACAAGACGATACCACCAAAGAAGCTCTTGGGAGCAAGGGATAAAATACTCTAATTTCAGAAATTTTCGGTGCTCAATATTTTCGGTATGAGGGCAACAGGCCAGGTTAGGTGAACAGAAATTTTCGGTACAGAGAAGCAGTTCCCTAGTATTGGATTATGTGTGTTAGCAAGAGTTCATAACCCCCAAGAGTGTGCAACTCCTGATCAGGAGGTATATTATGGCACCGCAGGCCGCGCACCTGAGGGCCTTTCTGGAAGCCTTACTCGATCGGATAGAGCGAAACTGAGCACCCTGGGATGCGAGCAGTTTTTAGTACTCCCGGGTCCAAAATCTCACCACCAGGCCGGGCTGATCAAAACGTCTGCCGGGTCTGCAGCCTACAAACGTGGATCTGCCGACACTGTGCTGTCGACGACATGTCCCGCAAGGCATCTTGCGTGAAAGCAAGGAACGCTTTTTTTTAGAAAGGAAGCTTCTTCCCCAAAATTTATAAAATTTGAAAATTATTCCTTCTGAAAATATCATCGCGCTCTTGACCTCGAAGCTGACGGCTGAATGCGATTAGGAAAGAAGATTCCTGAAGTTGCACCAGACTGATTCTGGCAAGCCGTCTGTCGTCTGGATATGCACTGTTGTTCGTTATGGTCAGCAATCTTCTTCGTTCGTCCTTTCGTTTTCCTGACCACGATGATGACAAGCAGCTCTCATGCTCAGGTTAGTGCTACTTGTATGTCTGGGCACACAACACATCTGAGATGCACCCACTGACGTTATCGAACTGAAGAATGCAGCAAGGGTTCCTCGGATTCTCTTGATTTCGGAACAAATTTCCTTCACTTTCACCCTCTCAGTCTCTTCCCCATGCCCTCCATGCATACACAATGGAGCTTGCATTTCAAATGTTGTTTTTATACTTTGGCAGTGCCTCTGCTACACTTTCATATAGAGTGAGGTCCTGTAAATAGGATCCAACATTGTTGGTGGTGGTGTGTGTGTGGGGGGGGGGGGGGGGGGGGGGAGGTATGTTTGCAGCCAGGATGTAGGAATGACACTTCTGCGCAGCAGGTGGCAATAGTCAGAACTGGTCACTCTACAAATCCCATACCTGCCGACCTTTGCAAACCTGAAATGGAATGACATACCTAGGCATGAAAATGTATACAAATATACCTCGCGGTGAGGCATGGAACTAATGCTCTTTTGGGTGCCTATTACCGCCCTCGATGTCGGGATGGTTGTCAGGTATGAAATCCCAACCGAGAAAACCATTTAATTAGAAGATAAACTCGGCTGGAACGCCGCTTTTCTGGAAATAGAAATTTGTTGTGCCACTTTCGGCTAGTCCTGTTTGCAGAAGTGATTCAGTGCCTCCGCAATGCTGTATGAGGGCCAGGACATAGCAACTTTCTGTATGCCGGGGGGGGGGGGGTCATCGTCCGCAACATTGGTAGAGTTACGGTTACATTGTATATGTAGATACGTGATTTTTGGACTCGCCTCCAGGGATTTGTCGTAAGCTGGGGCACGCGTACGTGAAGCAAGTGGCAAGAAAGGCCCAGTTCGTACAAGGGAGTAGTAAAATACCGGTATTTTTCTGTTCCTATGTTCCCACGACGAGTCCTCTGTGCACTGAGTGCAGGTCTCTTGCCGCTCCCTGGTCCCCGGTTCACGTGATCGTGACGTTTATCGAATAAGGTCTATATGCGGGCATGCATAAATCAACCCCTCCACAAGGACGGCTCAAACAGGCAGCCAAGGAGTGAAAATTTCGCTCCTGGGGCTAGGGGTGAAACGAAGGCCTCAATTTGCCAAATGAACCTTCTCCATCGAAACGAACGAAGGTGTCGAATAATTCTTTTACCAGTTCACAGTTCCTGTTCACACGCACTCCCGGGGGGGGGGGGGGGGCTACTATGCGCTTGTAGTGACACTTACCGTAAGCCAAGTTGCACCTATGGAAGCCAAGTGGAACACGACTAGTTGACTGAACAGACTACAGTACAGTATACATGCACATGTATACAGTGAAGATCAGTGCATGGATGCCTGCCGTAATCGTATGTTGACCTTCGTTCGAATTGAAAAGAGAGGGTCGTTTCGAAAAAGAAAAAAAGCTCAATGGAAGTATGATGCTGCTGACAATTCAAGACTCACTGAAGTCGCCTTTCTGGAATGGATCATGCGCTCTAGGTTCATCCGATTGGAAATGGACTCAATCATTGTTACACCATTCTTGTTTGGTTAGTTATTCTACATCCCATAGCATGTACAATCCAACTTGTGAATAATGTACCTCGGGTTTACAAAACAACTCGCAAATAACAATCTTCAGATCTAGTGACCATTTGATTGCATACTTCCAACCTCACGAGTAACAACAATACACCAATAGCGACACTTTTTTCATTCACAATCGAGGGTCAGTATTCCCCAGGTTGACTGCAATTGCCAATCAAACAGGAGGGGCGAAAGTCGACCACGGCTGAAAAGGCGTAAAGAGAATGTATGTCATGAGCTAGATGGCAGGAGGAAGTAGGTTTTCTGAGAAAGCAAGAAACAGAGGTGAATGAAGCACCAGGTCTGTCCATGCAGTGGATAGAATTATTGGATTGAAAGACAGGCTCTTTACGTCAGCTTGCTACTATTATACCTACATTTATTATTATTATTATTATGACGGATAACCCAAAGGCAATGGTTTGCTTTCTGCCTTTTTCATGCAGGATTCTGAAAGCTGGAGCAGCTCTGCTTACCTCGACCACTGAACTTACAACTAACTTCCAACCAAGTTCAAGGCAGTATTATGATGAATCAAGCACGCTTGCCATCATTTCATCATTGCAAAGTACATCGACAATATAGATTTGGTGCTGACTATGTATGATGCAGAGTGTGCTCTATGTATCTATACTACTGATTGGCCTACATTATACTTATGTGGGCTGAGAGTAATCGATTGTGCTGTATGGCAGTTTACTTGCATGTCATAGATGTTCACATTGCACACAGCTACTGAATTGCTTTCTGTTGCACTGGCCTACTGCGGCCCACTGCAAATAGATTGTAGTGGCATGGGCCATGCCATCATTATAGTGGTATACCGGTACTACACCAACAGTTTCACTGGTACACTGTACTTACTGGTGGATCTGCATCATGCACAGCCTTGTCACTGCTTTTCTCACTTTTTATTAATTTACTGTACTGTACACATTTTGGCACAGCTCTTCCACAAAGAGTTACTAGTATTTTCTTCTGCATACCTACTGTATACAGTGATCTGACTGGTAACATCTATGGCTGTGAAATCACAAATTTATGGGTTGACCGCCTCAAACCTATACGATTTGTTTCTAAGAACGTGCTATAAGAAGTATTCTATTAAAGTATTCTACTGGAGCTCGCAGGACATAGAGTGAGTTTGGAGCACCACTCACTCTTCTGTGATTTGGATGTCAAATTATGAAATTCAGTTTGTGAGGTAAACCCATGCATGGCATTCACTGCTATAGTATGACTCGGGGTAAAGTGTTCCAACGCATACTCATTATAGTGAATAGTTGTGTGTCAGTTAATCGGTGCCCAACGTTGTTGCTGCTGGATAAATAAATATTCTGAGATAACTGAAGCTACACAGCCATCTAATGTTCAAACATGCATGCATCGAAGGGGCCGTAACGAGATCTGCAAGGCATGATTCTATACCTATATTCGATGCTCTCTAGCAGGACATTCATCTGCCTCATTTTCTCTGTGCTGCGTTGATGAGCGAAACAGCATGCTGTCCGCAGATTGAGTATTGTGTATAGACAGACGTGTATGTAGTGGTAAAGCTCAAATACATGTACAACATGACAATCAATAACAATCCCCGTGTTTTACAACAGCACAAACCCAGCACCACAATTCTTAAATTTGGGCTGTGGTGTTCTTAGTATTCCAGGCTGGATGTTCTAGGCTTCCACGCTCTTGGGCGCACGACTTTACTGTGCCGAAGAATATTTTCAGCCAATGAACCCAGAGCTTGGTGGCATGGTGCCATGGAACAGCCTTTTGCATGTGGCTTTCACTACATGCACATGTACAACGTTCAATTGATGCGGAAAAATCAGATAAGGACTTTTGCAGTTATGAGCAAGGTCCCCACGAATGGTCATGTCACTTCACAGAATACATGAACTGATAGATTAGACCTCGGTCCCCTCAGAGAACGCTTGGGTGAAGTCGGTTTCAACTGAGGACATGTCCAAAACCATGCTAAGTACTTGAGCTGCTCATGAACCCCACAATTATCAGGCCCACCGGAACCGGTCTGGTTGGTCGGGTTATCACCGGACCAACTTGTTGGCCACCAACAAATGTTTCCTGCTGTGGAGGACGTGTGTACCCGCCATATCACACACAAAGTATAAAAGGCCATGAAACTACCAGACCGATCAAAAACTGCTTCCGGCGGTACTGATTATACAGTACAGGTTTAAAAAGCAGCTCCATTTTTGTCATACATCAAACCAACTCTGTCATTGCTATGCTACTCAAAAAGAGTAGTGCTGTTTATTCACAAAAGAATCACAATGCTAGCAGAGAAATTCGATATTCTCCAATTTTAGGGGCACTAAAGTACTATGCAAAAATTAATGCTGCATGGTCATTGGTATGAAGCAGTCACCTCAGTACAGCAATTAAACAGGCTGATTATGTGAATGAGATTCACGGCAAATCTTCTTCCATCAGTGCTGTTCAGTCTTGAGTGGTCCACTGAGGCAGGAAAACAACCTGTTCGGTCCTTCCATACGAGAAACAGAAATTGAACATGTTCCAGGGTGGAGGTGGCGAGCATCGGCAATGTAATGCACCTTTAGGCCAACACGACCATCATTCCGACATGGATTCTCAAACACCTTCGCTCGTGAGAGTGCCTCAGAGTGGTATTCATGAACAGATGGCAATCCTGTAAAACACATGAAAAGACATAGCAGCAACAGAAAGAAACCTAATGTTATAGAAACGAATTCGAAAAACAAAGTCTACTGAACCAAGGTACAACCACACTCCAGGAGGCAAGCAAAAGTGCATATAATCCGAAGGTTGCGATGCCTGTATGTATTGTATTCATTGATTCATGGATTCTCCACAGGCCTTAGCCTAAATCGAGGGAGTCTCTGTCATGCCACACTGGATACAACATGCTACCAGAATCACTTTCCCCAGTATTGATGATCTTTTCTTAGGGTGTTATATAAAACACATCTGTAGCCACTTCATCTTGCTCACGAAATCATACACCACCACACAAACGGGCCCTTCGGCTATTATAATTTGGGTGGTGATGTATGATATTGATAATCTATTGATACTAGGGCTGAAACGATTATATCGGTTATCCGTCTAATCGATCATAACAAGGAAACGATTTCGATTACGCTGTCTGTTTCGATTACGCGATTCTAAAAAAAAGAAACGTCTGCAAGAATCAAAAGATGTCATGTACAGCACTACTAGATACTGTACTTTGTCCTTTTCCTCGTTTCTTTTTGTTGTCCATATGTTTTCCAGTAGGGCTGTGAAAAAATTAAAAAATTAAAAACTGACTGTCTGCACCTGCACGTGATGTGCCACTGCATTGCGTAGAGTACGCGGTCTATCTGCACGTGTGTATGTACATGTATATGTGTATATTTCAACACGGCATGCTTTGTGCTGGTCTGGCGCGACAATTTCTAGGACGCAGTAATCAATAATCATAATCGATAATCGAATCGATACAAGGGTAGGTTAACCGATAGTTGAAAAGTGTAATCGTTTCACCCCTAATTGATACCATATCCAAGTCTGACTCTCACCGTGAGATCCTGGCAACAATATTACCTGGTACATGACATATTCAGACACTGACGTAAGCATCTTTTTGGAACAACACGTGTGCCTATCTGCTAGTGTAATGTGACACACATGCAGAATCAGTCATAGCTAATTTTACCCCCTCACTGTTGTATGCGCAGACTCCACTTTGCAGTGTCAAGTACTCTTCTTTCGGTGGACTACTTCACTAAGGCGCTTGTCTAAAAGGACTCACGTTCATCCTGCAAACCTACACGACTTGCATAGTTTTCACTGTCGGCCGAAGTCCATGCATTGCACACATTGAGATTCACTCCCTCCGTACAGGCCAGTACAGAGCTGCCCACCAATTGAGTCTGTTTTGCGTACTCAGACTTCTGATTTTCCGTATCTTGCAGTGTTTTGCGTACTGCCGTGTACATTGCATGCATACTTGCACTATAACGTTTTTTGACACGCACATGCATGTCGCAGGCTGCATTTGGTAGTGTAAAACATGTGTGACTTGCACTCACGACATTATTTTTTGTGCTACATGTACATGTTGTCGTGGTACGGCATGCACTCACTTTGGTACAAGACTATTCATCGCTCAGCTTACACTTGCAATGCTTCTACACAGCTGATTGATCCTCTTCGATTTTCTGTACCATTTGCCCAAATTCTGTAGTGCGAACAAGGAGTGATTTTCCGCACAAATACAGAAAAATATTTTTATTTTTTTCAGTCATTTTCACGACATATTTTCTTTATCATGATCCCCGGGTGTACGTGTGGCGTTCTTACAAGTACGAACGCGGAAGCGCAGTCTTTCTAACCGAATCTCACGTGCACTGTGAATAATATTATTTGTTCTTCTTTTATTCACAATGCCATGTATCGATTCATCGCTTCTTCGCACCTGAGATCCTGTGCAACAGCGATTTAAAGATTAGCTTTATCAAATAGTGATCAGAGAGAGAGAGAGAGGATCAGTTGTGGGTGCTGTGACAGCATAGAGTGTAGATTGGTGCAAACATCATTGCCCAGCAGAACCGTATTCATAATCATAGGGACCTGCGTTTAGCATTACATTTTGGAAGCTATTTTTTAGAATTTTTACAGGCCCAATAAGCCTGAAGAGAAGAACACTTAACTTAGACTGTCCTAACGTTATCGAAAGCACTGCCAAAGTAAAAAAAAACATTTGAAATGCAAGCTCCATTGTGCATGCATGGAGGGCACATGGGGAAGAGACTGAGAGGGTGAAAGTGAAGGAAATTTGTTCCGAAATCAAGAGAATCCGAGGAACCCTTGCTGCATTCTTCAGTTCGATAACGCCAGTGGGTGCATCTCAGATGTGTTGTGTGCCCAGACATACAAGTAGCACTAACCTGAGCATGAGAGCTGCTTGTCATCATCGTGGTCAGGAAAACGAAAGGACGAACGAAGAAGATTGCTGACCATAACGAACAACAGTGCATATCCAGACGACAGACGGCTTGCCAGAATCAGTCTGGTGCATCTTCAGGAATCTTCTTTCCTAATCGCATTCAGCAGTCAGCTTCGAGGTCAAGAGCGCGATGATATTTTCAGAAGGAATAATTTTAAATTTTTTTTAAATTTTGTAGAAGAAGCTTCCTTTCTAAAAAAAAGCGTTCCTTGCTTTCACGCAAGGTGCCTTGTGGGACATGTCGTCGACAGCACAGTGTTGGCAGATCCACGTTTGTAGGCTGCAGACCCGGCAGACGTTTTGATCAGCCCGGCCTGGTGGTGAGATTTTGGACCCGGGAGTACTAAAAACTGCTCGCATCCCAGGGTGCTCAGTTTCGCTCTATCCGATCGAGTAAGGCTTCCAGAAAGGCCCTCAGGTGCGCGGCCTGCGGTGCCATAATATACCTCGGATCTCTCCTGCACATGCACAATCTGCAGATACCCCGCGCCCACGGCGGAATTTTTTGTTTACGTCACCTTTTTTCAGAGAAACGCGGCTTTGCCGCAGCGCAGAGCAGTGTGAGAGCACGTGCTGGGCACCGACCATGTAGTGTAAAGCCCTGCCAAGTGCACGAGGGAAAACTCTCCAAAAGGCTCGCAGCGCGTGCGTCGTCGAAAAGATTACGTCAACAAAAAATTCCGCCGTGGGCCAACCCATCCGCGAGTTGCACACTCTTGTTTATCTACTCTTGGTGTTAGTGTTTGTTCGGTGTATTGAAATTTTAGGTATGAAACAGACGCACCGAAAGTACCGAAAATAAAAGTACACCGAAAATTTGTGAAATTACAGTAGTCTCTTTTTGGCGAGATTGAGCTGAGTTTGAAATTTCCCGGGCCGGCCTGGTGCATGGTGTCGGATTTGGAAAATAAAAGTGCAACTTTTTTTAGGGGTGCGCACGGCCGGGTAGAATCGTACATGTTTTCCGATTTTGACAGCATGTTACAAGGGGTGGGGGGACATGTTGTATACCTGGGTAGAATACAGTAGTAGACACCAGGGAGTAGGCCTGGTAGACACCCTTAAAACTTTTAGGGGTCTTTTTCGGTGCTGGCGCTTCGCCTGGTTAGATACAGGCCCGTAACAGGGCCAGGGTACGAGTACTGCGACTGTCTGTAGTGTTTTTGAGGGGTGTGCGCACGGGTAGAATACAGTAGTTATCCTGGTTGAATGTGCGAAGTAAAATAAAAACCAACAACAAAGGATGGATTTCCGACGAACATACATTGTAACTTTGTAAGCCAGTCAACGGCAGTGCGGCACAGGGCAGGTCCCCTACAGTCCATTCAGAAAAAAATGAACTTCTAGCTTTTGGCCATAAATGGGTCAAACTTTGTGAGTTTTTTTAGACTTTTTTTTGGCAATCCCCTATGGAATCCTCTTCCAATTATGTTTCTGAAGTTTTTTTGCCCAAAAAGCAAGCCATAGCAAGAATAGGATTTCGGCCAGGTTTTGCCCCAAAAGCACAGAATTGGGAAAACCATCAAAATCCAGGCCGTTTGACCCCGCCTGGCAACAGTGCATTCTGCGGTTCGAACCCCAGTTCAGGCACCCTTTTTGGACCCTTTTTCAAATTTCAAAGTTCGCAGCACTGCACTGTGTACGATGAAATCACGAAAAACCGCCAAATACGGGAGCTCGCCAGAGCCAGAGCCCATCTTTTTATGAATGGACTGTAGTACAGTCAGACCTCGCTTATCCGGATCCCTTGTCATCCGGAAGAGAGAGAGAGAGAGAGAGAGAGAGAGAGAGAGAGAGAGAGAGAGAGAGAGAGAGATTGAGATTTACAGCGTACGTGATGCATCCAACAAAACCGGTGCTCGGGTATCTGGTTCCCTCGCCTATCCGGATATCTTTTTGACTCTGTCCCTCCAGGAACTTGCGATTCCGCGGCCGCGTTGTTTTCCGCGATTTGAACAAAAGTCCGGGATATCCAAGATATTTGAAAAATCATCCGCGTTATTATAGAAAACTGTCCTTGATACATGTACTTGAAAAGCACCGCGATATTTCGAAAAGCAACCGCGATATTCGAGTCTTTCTTCGATGTTGTTTAGTTCTTCAAGCTTGTCAGTAGTTTACCTGTGAGATCGACACCAGAATGGAGAAGTTTCTGGGCAAATCAGCGGCTGACAAGTCACAAAATAAGGCTCGCGTCGAGTGTTGTCCGAGGATATGAGGAAAACTGTCTTGCAAGCTCCTGTCGGGCAGTTGAACACAGTCAGCGCAGCACACGTTCTGTTTTGTCATGCATGATTTATGCTGGACGACTCGTACACCGTACTGTCCCCGGGGAAAATCGCGATTCCGCGGCCGCGTTTTTTCCGCGTTTTTTTAAAGATCGCGTTTTCCCCGATTTCCCCCCCCCCCGTTTTTTGAACTTTTTTGTTGCACTACACGTACACACACTGACAGTGCACTGTTTGGTCAGCAACGTCTCATCGTGGCGGCTTTGTACTCAAATATGACGAGTGCTTACACCAGAGACTTGTAACTGATTGATTTCACTACATACTCACTGAAAATTGCCTCATATCAACTGCAAACTTGCCGCATATCAATAATATTCACCGCAAATTCACCGCGAATTATGCCATGTTATGCCGCGTTTTTTTACGATTTTTCCCGCGATATCCCCCGGGGACAGACCGTACACCACTACAGTACAAGTACCAAAATCGGCCGCAATTTCCGCAATTTTACCACAATAATCCCGCAATATTTGACAAAATCCGCAATATTCCCCACAATTTGTGGCATTTTACCTCGCATGCAACTTTTTCCGTGATATTTCCGAAATGTCTCCGCAAGTTTCTGGAGGGACAGATTTAATTTTGTGGAAAACGGATGTGTGCGGCGACGTCTGGCTGTAGACTGTAGAACCCAGTGGATGAGATCAATGCATTGATTTCGGCTCTAAATTTTGAAAAAATTTGAGCGGAGCCACCACTCCCCAGGAGTAAAGTGTGCCTCAGATGACTGACCGTACCACCGGTCACCGGAACACATGCACCCTGAATTACATTCCGACACCCCTGGAGAATGTTTTTTTCATAATTTCATTTTCCATCTTTTATTATTTCCACGGCAACGGAGTAATGAATGACGATGGTAATGACGATAATCTACATGTGGTACACATACAGGTACGTACGGACTATTCCTAACTTTATGGGCTATGTATTGCACTATTGCAGCAGATTCAGCGATAGCGCCGATATCGAGATTAGGCACACACTTGAAAATCATAGAAAAACGGATCGACAACGACGGGTCCGCTAGCCTACAATAAATGAAACGCAAAAGGTGGAGCACATCAAAGCTGATACTGTAGGCTAGTGTAGCATTGCTGACACCTACCCATGGTTCCCTGCCAGAGTAAGCATGACCACAGCAGGAGCTAGACCTGATCGCACATTACGATTCCTCCTTGATCATCTCACGAATTTGAGGGATGGCTGCTGCGAGATTCGCGAACTGGTCCACATTCAGAGAGATACCCTTCTTGGTGGGCTGAAAATCATCTGCGGCGGAATCCTCCGGAACCCAGTACCTGCGAATATCCACATAAACGTTGCCTTTATGATTCTTGACTTGAGCTCGAATAAGTTCACCTTGAAAGTCGCCAGTTCCATGGTGGATGTCCTTGATGGACAGAGAGCGCAGCTGGATCCCAGCCGGGCGCAGGGCGCGGGCACACCTCAAAGCGAGACTCATGGTTCCTTTGAGAGAATGAGATACAACGGAGCAGAAATAAGAATTGCAATCACCGGTAGTTGCCAGGGAGTCGTAAAACACGGTATTTAAAGGGGAAGTATACCCTAAAATCAAATTTTCACCAGTTGTAGTCTTCTGGGTGCTGAGTCGAATGGTCTTGGTCCGAGGAAGCTGCGACGCTCCCTTCCTACTTGAATCCCAATCGAACTCGCGCACTTCCACCGAAACTGGGTGACTGCGCCCTACTAGATGGGGATTTGTATGCAAAATGTCACTAAAAGCGCCATTTCGTTCTTATAAAAGCACGGATGACCGCGATTGGCCCATATGTTGTAGTCTTTTGGACGCTGAGTCGACTGGTTTTGGTCCGAAAAGGCTGCGATGCAGCGTTCCTCCTTTATTCCCAATCGAACATGGTTGAAGAAGCGGTCACGTGCTCCTGCGTACACCAGTCACCTGGTCACCGTGCCTGCAGGGTACAACTTACTAGCCTGTTTGACCTTTTTTGGGTGCAGTCCTGTCACTCGAGTTGAACTCGAGTTGAACCTTGGTGTGAAAGTTGTCGCCTGCTGGCGCGGTGACCAGGTGATTTGGGCACCCAGGAGCACGTGACCACTTGTTCAACTATGTTCGATTGGGAATAAAGGAGGAACGCTGCATCGCAGCCTTTTCGGACCAAAACCAGTCGACTCAGCGTCCAAAAGACTACAACATATGGGCCAATCGCGGTCATCCGTGCTTTTATAAGAACGAAATGGCGCTTTTAGTGACATTTTGCATACAAATCCCCATCTAGTAGGGCGCAGTCACCCAGTTTCGGTGGAAGTGCGCGAGTTCGATTGGGATTCAAGTAGGAAGGGAGCGTCGCAGCTTCCTCGGACCAAGACCATTCGACTCAGCACCCAGAAGACTACAACTGGTGAAAATTTGATTTTAGGGTATACTTCCCCTTTAATTTTTAGGACTACGAGTACCTGGACTAGAAAGACTTGATCTGCATGCGTTTTGTTCGAGCACGAGTCTTTTGTCGGTTTGAACGGATTCGTGCGTGGTACACGTACAGTGCTAGTGTACGACTTTTCGCGGCTTTTCCTGTTTCGTCACGTGTGCACGTGCAGAAAAGTGACGAACGCCATAATACATGATGGCGTTCGTCACTTTTCTGCACGTGCACACGTGACTATTATTATGCCCTCATAGTACATGTAATGTACATACAGGCGCTAGGCCGGCGCGGTCACGTCAGGCGGTCACACAGTCACTGAGGGAAAATTTGAAAATAATTCGTGGTTACCATGGCCGCTGAGCGGGAGACTTGAGATATTAATTTAATCCACTCGATAAAAATCAGCTCGAGGCGCTAGGCACCGCTTTTCCGCCGAAGATTATAATCATCCGCGGCTTCCACTGGATTTCTTTGAGTTTCCTTGTTTTGTATTGCGTTCTGAAGTGGAGCGACACTACGTCACTATTATTTTATTATTATTATTAAATTTTTGATAGGGCAATCCCCACAGGCCTAAGGCCTTCTTACAGGGTACCCTAAATGTGCCAATACAAGGTAACTAGTATTATAGTATAGGCTGTGCTGATGCAGCTCTGGCCCAGGAGCGGGGCTGCAGCGCTGACAGACTGCCAGAAGCGAGTGGTGACAAAAAAATTGCTCGCGTGAGTGAGATTTTTTTCATTGTGCGTATGCATTGTGGCCGTGATGAAAAGCAGAACAAATTATTCCCGGTTTATAATCTGAGGATTGTTCCCTCAATGTGACCGGCCCCTAACAAACTTACAGCCCAGCAGGAAGGGTGAACAAGTAGATTTAGATTGAAATTTCTGTGTGGACTTTGACTTTTATGGCATAGCATAGTGGGCGAGTCATTTTGCATCCAAAATATCTAGGAAAGCAGCGGTCGATATGACATACGGTAATTATCTTGTTATCTTGGTGGACTGTTAGTCATAACCACACTTGTAGGTCCTTTTCTCTTTACATATTACCAAGAGAAGATAAACAAGAGTGTGCAGCTCGCGGATGGGTAGGCCCACGGCGGAATGTTTTGTTGACATAATCTTTTCGACGACGCACGCGCTGCGAGTCTTTCGGAAAGTTTTCCCTCGTGCTCTTGGCCGGCTTTACACTACAAGGTCGGTGCCCAGCACGTGCTCTCACACTGCTCTGCGGCAAAAATTTAATAAATGCGCGTTCTTCTGAAAAAAGGTGACGTCAACAAAAAATTCCGCCATGGGCGGGGGTATCTGCAGATTGTGCAGGAGAGATCCGGGGTTGCACACTCTTGTTTATGTACTCTTGATATTACTACATAATATTGGCTCACCATCCAAGTCAATATTTATTTTATTACATGTCAGGTGACCGTTTCCAGGTCTACAGCCAATCAGCGACCAGATAGAGCGGGCAATATTTCTCCATACAAGCCCGCTCAGGCGGTCCAATATTACACGATATTGCCCGGCATTTGACCCCATACACACTGTACACATAGACATACAAGTAGGTGCGCATGTAGATGTAATACTAGTTGGATACATGTACATGTGCCTCGCAGTTTTTCGTAGTACCATGATCCCGAATTCCACGTGTGAAGGCAGTGTACGTTGATGAGTACATCAAATTAGGGAAGTATGCATGTAATAAATGTGTTATTAGCCTCGTAGTACGGGCAATACCGGCTACGATATCTGCCCTCACGGCTGACGCCGTTCAGGCAGATATCGGCCGGTATTGCCCTGATACTCGGCTAATAACACATACGGAATTAGTTTTACTTTTACCTGCAGAAAAGGTAGGTGGGTGGGGGCTGAAAATACTAACCAGTCCCCGACATTATGTATTATCAGGATCCGACCTGTACTGATATTGTTGCAGCCCAGATAACAGACTAGCCACTTCTAGGCGAAGCTTTCACCATCATTTTACTGGGTCGTGATCCTGTTTGAATTTGCGAAGTAAAATAAAAACCAACAACAAAGGATGGATTTCCGACGAACATTCTCTTCGCTTTCTTTGCCCGCTGCTACCACTAGATATGGCATGTTCTCTATTTCTTTCCTTGGTGCTGATAGGTGGAATTCTCTGCCTGTCCCGTGTCGTCAGGCTGAGCATCTATCCGTTTTTGTTTCGCTCTGTAAAAGAGCACGTAGGGTTCCCTGTAACAAGACGGCAACGTCTGTAGGGCCTTCCCTATCAAAACGAGAGAGCTTGGAAGCTCAGGGCCCTACGCTATGCTTTTTTGCCTTGATGACCTAGACAAAAAAAAGCATAGGGATGTTATAAATTCTTTAAAAAATTCCTTTTTTTAAAGACATAACCTGGGATTCGAACCCGCACTATGGCGCGCCCTGCATGCATCCCCCGATACACTTCGCATACATACTGATTCTTCCAAGTTGTTTCACATTGTGATCTTGCATTTGAAAGCCCTACAGTCGACCTACCCTTCGATAACCTCTATAACGATATTACCCTTATAACGATATTTTTCTGCCAAACCAAATCACTCCATTGACTTCTGTATACAATGCCCTACCCTTATAACAATATTGCTATAACGATATTACCCCTATAACGATATAAAATGGGCTGACCAATCAACATTTTCCATTTTATAACAATTGAGAGGTTCTGCACAACTAAAATTCGAACGAAGTTTCGCAACAGGCCTTGCGAAAATGTGTACGAATTTTCGCACGAACTTTGTGTTCTGCACATTTTCGTAGTTTGCACGCGCCAACGGTGCACGTACGACATGACCCAATCTCACGAAACTTCCTACGAAAGTTCATTTCGCGTTCCCTGCAAGTTTCGCGTCCAAAGTTGCGAAAGTTCGTGCGAAGTTTCTCACTTCGTGACGTAGAGCGAAAGTTCGTACACATTTTCGTTTTGCAGAACCTCTCTAATATCTAGCAGGGAAGATGTAGAGCCCACTATCCAGGTAGGGCAAGCTTCACTTGATAAGTCGCTGGGACATGACGAAATGCAATGGGGGCACCAGTGGGCACCTTGCTGTGTACATAATGTCAAGAGTTCATAACCCAGGGGTTATGAACTCTTGATAATGTGCATGTATGTCAGTTATTTATGCTATAAAGAGTGTAAACATGAACAAAATCCATGCATTATGACGTACATGTATGTGTATGAAACGAACCAGTTACCCCTATAACAATATTACCCTTATAACAATATTTCTTGGTCTGACGCAAATATCGTTATAAGGGTAGGTCGACTGTATATGCATTGTGGCCAGCCGTCTTTGGCGGTGTTTACATGAGGCGTTTCAACCAGGGAGTCGTATTTTACGACTCCCTGGTCAGACTAGACCTCGCTTATCCGGATCCCTCGTCATCCGGAAGAAATAGCTGGTAAGGGCGCGTTCAGACTACCGATAAAAAGTGACCGATAGGGAAAGTCGCCAAGGTGATTTGATCACGTGACGTTACTGGCACGTTACCGGTGGGAAAGTTTTACTGCCGCGGCTGATGCGGCAGTAAACTTTTACCGGCAGTAAAAAAGTGCTCAGGCTGCATGCGCGCTGCGAAAAAAAGGGAAAATCCCTTGTCAGTGCCGCGGTGAGAGCTGAAAACTTCACGGTCACGTTAGTTTGTTATCGGTAGTGTGAATGTCCTTCACGGTTTATCGGCATTCACGGTTTGACGGGGTTCACGGTAGTCTGAACGCGCCCTTACAGGGAGAGATTTACAGCGTACGTGATGCATCCAACATAACCGGTGCTCGGGTATCCGGTTCCCTCGCCTATCCAGATATTTTTTTGACTGCTGTCCCTCCAGGAACTTGCGATTCCGCGGCTGCGTTGTTTTCCGCGATTTGAACAAAAGTCCGTGATATCCGCGATATTTGAAAAATCATCCGCGTTAATAGAAAACTGTCCTTGATACATGTACTTGAAAAGCACCGCGATATTTCGAAAAGCAACCGCGATATTCGAGTCTTTCTTCGATGTTGTTTAGTTCTTCAAGCTTGTCAGTAGTTTACCTGTGAGATCGACACCAGAATGGAGAAGTTTCTGGGCAAATCAGCGGCTGACAAGCCACAAAATAAGGCTCGCGTCCAGTATTGTCCGAGGATATGACATTATGAGGAAAGCTGTCTTGCAAGCTCCTGTCAGGCAGTGGACCGTATGCGTGTTAAAACAAAATGGCGTCACGATTTATTGAAAGTGTTATAGTTGGTGGTACGAGTGTTCAAACCCATTTGAACTTCATACTGTTCGTCTTCTTTTTGACATGCTCTCTTTCCATCGTCCTTAGCTTTTGTTTGTTGAGAGCTGTTTTGGCTTTCTCCTATACCTCTGGGGGATGCCAAGTGATGGTTTTGAGAGGCTGGTGATGGCTGTGAGCGAGAGTTTGCCGATCGGCGTCGTCCTCGCTATAGCGATGGAAATACTAGTTACTGCGCACCTGGCAGATATCACAACACGTCGGAGCGTCCAGGAGCAAAGGAATCTTGGGTTTTCACTGGAATCTAGTTCCTCCAGCATCGTGTAGCCCACCGTCGGTGAATGGCGGTCCAGAAAGGTCGAACCTGGTCTTCTGCAGCATCTCACAGTCCTGCGAGGCACACTGAATACGCCTGTCATGTATTCTACAAATAAAAATCACGAAGTAGTGGACTCTACAGTGATGAGTCTATCCTGTATGCTGAAAAAGACGCAGGAAATGTGACTGGTGTCCGTACACTGGACGCCAATATCATCCCAGTCTTCTCCTGCAGGATCTGTTTGACATTGACATACCGGTGTGCAGTGGGTCGACATTGGCCTGTTTTGGCAGCTATCTGCCTGGGTGGATGTAGCAGGTTTGCATTGGCGCGTCGTCCAGTCCGACATTTTCTTGTAACTGTGGAGTACCGGCAGGGTTTGAGAGGTTGCTCGTGCTGTGAACACATCTCTACTGCCTGTCTCGTCCTGGAAGTGCGGTCTCGCCGCTTCCTTGCTCTACAGTCACGCCGTTATTTCGCTTTGTTTCGTGGTGCAGCTCAAAACCTGCCCAAACAACTGTGAGCTCGCAACATGGTATGGACAAATTGCACCACTCATGCTGGTTAACTAAAACCAGGATAGTCGAGTAAGCGAGTTCACTCCCTGGGCCATGGCAAGATCTGTTCAGCGCGGGCTATTCCAACCTCCAAGTGCATAGTCACCGATCGATCCATGCGATGGTGGTTGACCTACAAAGAGCCAAGGTCTACGAGTACTACTATTGGATGCTGTCTACATGCAGTCAACAAAATCAAAGTACCTCAGTATGCCCCAGAATAGGGCATGTGCATCTATAGCATGACACAACAGGGGTTCTGGCGGCACCTGTCAAACAAGCAGTAGCGACTAGTGCCAGCTACCTATTGGAGGCTAGCCGCTACAGTCTGTCACTGGAGATAATTATTATGTTCACTGTTTAGACTGAGCACAATCAATGATGCCCAATGTATGTTCTGTTCCACCTAATTATAACGTCCCATCGCATCAACCCTACTACACGCACATGTCGTCACTCTAGCACGACTTGTGTTATTTATTGTTTATTTTTGATTCGCACGATAAATAGAGCACGATAAACGTTAACTTGACCGAAGGTTAAAGGCGACTGCAGATAGAGGAACACATCGAGGTACAGGTACCGGCATCATCAGAGAGAAACAAACAAAAATGAGAGGTACGCAGAAAAAACTCTCGTAAGCCCAAGAGGAAGTGGTTGATGAGGGATGAATGCACTCTCCACGCTCACCTACACTGTTCGTGGAAATGCACACATACATACAATAATATACAACATAGCAATAGCATGCACAGAACCGAACAATTTCATGTTCACACATGCAAGCACAGACCTGAACATTAGTACCAAAAGCCGATACAGACAATATCCCCATACACACAGACGCACACACACACACACACACAATGTCCCATGTATGCGCCCGTGGCGAGAAAAGCACGCAAATCTACAAATGCACTGGATGTGAACCCACAGATTTTCTCTTATAGCAACGATAGCGGATCTGATTCTGAATGAAACACACACACAATACAATCATTGAATGCCCATCCGCAGATGATGGCAGGTCCTGAAAGAACAGGCAGTGTTCCAGTGATGGGGAACAGAACTTCGAGTGGCGAGTGAGGTATACACACACAAACACACACACGTGCGTGCGCGGGCACACACTAAAGTATTCAGAAATAGAATCGACATCGTAGTACTCATTGGTTGGGGAATGGAAAGGAAAACAAAACATTGCTGTAGGTTATTGTTGTAAGGACACTGGGAGCACAACAGAAAGGTAAGCAACTTGCTTTGAAGCAAAGAAAGTTATTATTCCACGGATCTCAGAAGGAAGGAACGTTCCAGAATGCTGCACTGGCAACAGGCGGCCTGCATGTGCGCGGCCCCTGCAGTCGGTCCAGCTGCCGGCCTTGCAGTGCTGAAAAGAATGTGCAGTACAGCATGTCACATAGTATCGCAGCCTGGACAAATAGGCGCTGGGAAGTCCTAGTTATGTGCTCACCTACACCACGATGCACCAATCTTCTGAGCTACTTTGGCAACAACTTTGTCCACTTGAGACTCCCATGGGCTGAGCCAGTTGTTGAGGGCTGCACCAAGGTGGACGGCAATGACCGCTGATGGCAAGGCAATCCATGACACACAGTCACTAGGGCATCGTCAACATGGCGCTGAGGCTGGATCGATAAAATCAACCTTTAGGCTGCCGCGGGGTTGACAACGAGGCCGCTGTCTCGAAGCTAGTCAGTCAGCCTGGTCACCGGGCCGCCATTGACGAACCAGTCGCCACCGCCAGCAGTGGCGGTAGGTTGTGACAAGTGTGGTGCAATATTGTCAGCAAATTCAGTACTCAGGATAAGATGAGTGACAAAGGGAACGTTGTGTTTGATAATATTGAAGTGAACAGGGATGATCACAAACCCTGCGCGTACTCCACCGTGACTTACAAGAAAATTCGGGACTGGACGACGAGCAAACACCAACCTGCTACATCCAACCAGGCAGATACTATTAGGATAGCTGCCAAACCAGGTCAATGCCGACCTACTGCATAATGTCAATGTCAAACAAATCCTGCAGGAGAAGACTGGGGTGTTGGCGTCCAGTCACTGAGTGTACAGACACCAGTCACATTTCCTGCGTCTTTTGCAGCATACAGGATAGACTCATCACTGTAAAGTCCACTACTTCGTGATTTTTATTTGTAGAATACATGACAGGCGTATTCAGTGTGCCTCGCAGGACTGCGAGATGCTGCAGAAGACCAGGTTCGACCTTTCTGGACCGCCATTCACCGACGGTGGGCTACACGATGCTGGAGGAACTAGATTCCAGTGAAAACCCAAGATTCCTTTGCTCCTGGACGCTCCGACGTGTTGTGATATCTGCCAGGTGCGCAATAACTAGTATTTTCATCGATAGCGAGGACGACGCCGATCGGCAAACTCTCGCTCACAGCCATCACCAGCCTCTCAAAACCATCACTTGGCATCCCCCAGAGGTATAGGAGAAAGCCAAAACAGCTCTCAACAAACAAAAGCTAAGGACGATGGAAAGAGAGCATGTCAAAAAGAAGACGAACAGTATGAAGTTCAATTTAATGGTTTTGAACACTCGTACCACCAACTATCACTTTCTGACACGTTCTGTTTTGTCATGCATGATTTATGCTGGACGACTCGTACACGTACTATACTGTCGTTTTTTTTGCGATTTTTTAAAAGACCGCGTTTTCCGCGATTTTTGAACTTTTTTGTTGCACTGTTCGGTCAGCAACGTCTCATCGTGGCGGCTTTGTACTCAAATTATGACGAGTGTTTACACCAGAGACTTGTAACTAACTGATTTCACTACATACTCACTGAAAAGTGCCTCATATCAACTGCAAACTTGCCGCATATCAATAATATTCACCGCATATTTACCGCAAATTATGCCATATTATGCCGCGTTTTTCCCCGGGGACAGACCGTACAGCAATACAGTACAAGTACCAAAAACGGCCGCAATCTTACCACAATAATCCCGCAATATTTGACGAAATCCGCAATATTCCCCGCAATTTGTGGCATTTTACCTCGCATGCAACTTTTTCCGCGATATTTCCGAAATGTCTCCGCAAGTTTCTGGAGGGACAGATTTAATTTCGTGGAAAACGGATGTGTGTGGCGAGGTCTGGCTGTAAACTGTAGAACCCAGTGGATGAGATCTGCATTAATTTCGGCTCTAGATTTTGAAACTTTTGAGGGGAGCCACCACTCCTCAGGAGTAAAGTGCGCCTGAGGGGCCGTTTACATGAGGAAAATAAGCCCGGGCTTATTCGCCTCGGGCTTATTTTTCAACCGTTTACATGACGGTTGTACGGGGCTGAGCTCAGAGTGACTGCGAGTTCTGCGCGCATTTTATTTTTCAAATCGCACATGAACGCAGTGGTAAATGTTCGTGTCTGATGAAATTTGGATCAAGAAATGCCGGCTCAGGTTTCTATTGCCTTTCCAATTGTCACTTATTTTCGAGAAGGTGAAGGATGGGCTAGGACCTTCCCTGGACAAAAACCAGAAGAAAACATACCAAGAAATAAATAAAAGAGACGCACTGTCCACGCCACATTCTCTCAGGTTCACGAGGCAAAATCGAAAAATACGGAAAACTCGCTTTATTAATATAAGCCCTTCTTGACCGTTTACATGACAAAATAAGCCCTGGGGGTTGGATAGGCTCGGGGGTCAAGGGTAGGGCTAGTTCAGCTCGGGGCGAGCTGAATAAGCCCGCCTGACCATGTAAACGCGCGCTCTAAAATGACTGGGTGACTGATCAAGGCGGGCTTATCGTAAGCCTAGGGTTGAATAAGCCCGGGCTAATTTTTCTCATGTAAACGGCCCCTCAGATGACTGACCGTACCACCGGTCACCGGAATGCATACACCCTGAATTACATTCCAAAACCCCCTGGAGAAAGCTTTTTACAATTTCATTTTCCATCTTTTATTATTTCCACGGCAACGGTGTAATGACTGTGGATGAGATCAATGCATTGATTTGGGCTCTAAATTTCGAAAATGTTGAGCGGAGCCACCACTCCCCAGGAGTAAAGTGTGCCTCAGATGACTGACCGTACCACCGGTCACCGGAACACATGCACCCTGAATTACATTCCGACACCCCTGGAGAATGTTTTTTTATAATTTCATTTTCCATCTTTTATTATTTCCACGGCAACGGAGTAATGAATGACGATGCATAGTAATGATGATAATCTACGTGTGGTACACATACATGTACGTACGGACTATTCCGAACTGTGGGAGAGCCATTCCCGTCACAAAGCAGCTAAAGCAACTAGCTGAGGGTTGAGACTTATGCAGTATTATACTCTATGGGCTATGTATTGCACTATTGGAGCAGATTCAGCGATAACGCCGATATCGAGATTAGGCACACACTTGAAAATCATAGAAAAACGGATCGACAACGACGGGTCCACTAGCCTACAATAAATGAAACGCAAAGGGTGGAGCACATTAGTGCGGATACTGTAGCATTGCTGACACCTACCAACGGTTTCCCGCGAGATAAGCATGACCACAGCAGGAGCTTGACCTGATCGCACATTACGATTCCTCCTTGATCATCTCACGAAGTTGAGGGATGGCTGCTGCGAGATTCTCGAACTGGTCCACATTCAGAGAGATACCCTTCTTGGTGGGCTGAAAATCATCTGCGGCGGAATCCTCCGGAACAAAGTACCTGCGAATATCCACATAAACCCTGCCTTCATGATTCTTGACTTGAGCTCGAATAAGTTCACCTTGTCTGTCGCCAGTTCCCTGGTGGATGTCCATGAGGGACAGAGAGCGCAGCTGGATCCCAGCGGGGCGCAGGGCGCGGGCACACCTCAAAGCGAGACTCATGGTTTCTTTGAGAGAATGAGATACAACGGAGCAGAAGGCTACTGGTACACGGTAATGGCAGGAGAAAGACTTGACTGAACCGTTGCTTTTTTCTGTAATTAATTCAGCACGTGTATTTGAAAATGTTGATCGCGCAATCATTGTCACGTGCACATACGCCGGACCGGTCGTCGGCGCGTCACAATTTTTACGACTCCCTGGTCGCGACGGGTGCCCGGGGGCGGGGGGGGGGGGCGCTAGCTGTGAGGAGCGCGGGATCCCCGCGGGAGCGGCTGAGTAGTCGACGCCGACTCGACGGACAGGGTGCGTTCGTTTGTTCGCGTGACCACCCAATCAAGAAATTGCACTGCAGCTAAGCGTTCGTTTGGGCGTAAAATCTACAAGACATGACCATGATGGCATGATGACTGCTGAGCATGAGAAGGCTTATTCAAGTCCAGTAATATAATAGCAGAGTACTCTAGGCTAGCTCTATGACATAGAGCTAGCCTAGAGTACTCTGCTATTATATTACTGGACTTGAATAAGCCTTCTCATGCTCAGCAGTCATCATGCCATCATGGTCATGTCTTGTAGATTTTACGCCCAAACGAACGCTTAGCTGCAGTGCAATTTCTTGATTGGGTGGTCACGCGAACAAACGAACGCATTTTTGTACTCTTGCCAGTCTTGGTAGTTTAGACTTTTGATTTTGTTCTTATTTTGAGTGAGATACATGTACATTTGTAGTATTCCGGCTACAGTACTGGTACTCATATTTATAGCAATATAGGCCTCGATCTAGATGCAATTTTGGTCCAGGTTCGTTCAGTAGTTTTCTCTCTGGGCCGAGGACGATGCTGGACAAAACCAAAGGGAAGGATGCGGCCGTGCAAGACGACCTTTGGTATGTGAACCAGGCAATCTCGAAAAACAGCGTTGAGCGAGTGTTTTGCATTTGGGTACTATTTTGTGCATATAGAAAAGGTCTGCATCTTTGAACACTCAGGGATAATCTTATTTGCTGCCCATCTTTGGATACACTATACACTATAATTATGTATGCACAAGTGTAGTGCACTCAATTTTATATTCCTTGTTTTTTGAGTAGTGCACCTGGCGTTGTGCCTGCTGACATGCTAGTAGTTGGACAATTTATGCATGGCGATAGGAACCATGAATTATATTGCACAAGGTCTGGGAGGTAGCCTGTACCTGTGTTATTTCAGGTGACAAATTTGTTTCAAATCCTTCATGATTGCTGAGCGACGTTCAGAAAAGATGGGCTTTGGCTTCCCTTGATTGGTTATGCCACCCTGGACTTCTTCCAGGACATGTGGTGACCTTCTGCAGAGTTACTGTGAATATACAGTTCATTCTGTTGACGTTTGGTATCAGAACAGTTAAAGATAGGGAAGTTAGCTTTTTGGGCCTGGCTTTACACAATTCATGGACGTGGCAAATGGGATTTCGGCCTTTGGCCTCTGGTTGGTGGACCTGATCTTTCCTCCCCCATGGTTTAGGAGCCGCACCTGACGCCTGATCATGGGGTGGTGGCGTCCCACGGAAGCGGAAAGGCGGTCCTTGATCCTCCGTGCACGCGAGCCCGTGCAACTTGTATTTCATTTTTATTTTGCCCGATAACCCTTATATGCACATTGACGTCACATACGAAATCCCGTAGACTCGGTTGGGTGTTAAATGTACAGGACCCTATTGTGTTATCTGTATTTTCGACTACGGAACGTTCCCTTCAGGCATTTCATGCAGCTACATTTTTTCGGACGTAGATCCAGCTAGTCACTAGTCCTGTCCAAACTGATATGAAGCTGGCAAAGCGTCTGTCTGCCACTAAGCGTTGGGCTAAGCTGGGTCAAATGCGCATGTTGTGGCACGCAATGACCACCCAACTGTGCATGTACACACCTGCGGGAATTCATACATCTGTACGAGATTATTATTATTCAATATTATTATTTTTATTTTACAAAGGTGTTTCCCACAGACCTATGGTCTTCTTACGGGGGTCCCTAGAAAGGTTAAGCATGAACGAACAAACGTGCGATAATCTGTACAAGAGCGAACAGTGGAAGGCAGCATGTTCCACCGATCAGAACCTATGTAGCCAAGACGAGAAAAACCAGCTTTAGTGCGGGCAGAAGGCAAGGCCAGAGAAAAAGAGATGATCCGAAGAGTCCTTATGCACATTGCAGCGTGTGCTAAGGGGAGGATCCGGCGGTGGTGCCGGTTCCGGTGAACCCCGGGCCGCTTGGTCGGGCCATGGCAGGACCAACAACTCTTTGGCCACCAGCGCGTGTTTATATAGTTGCTATGGAGACCATGTGCATCTGCCGTATCATACACGAAATATGAGACTAGAGCATGGCTGATTAGGGTACCGCAACTCAAACGCTCGAAACACAAGGTCTCTTTAGGGGCCGTCCGTAAATATCGAACGCTTTTCACCAAACGCATTATTTTGGTTTAGACTCGACCCCTCCGGGAGCTCCCCCTCAGAACGTAAAAATTGTTGACATATACAATGCATATACAACACAAGTCGCAAGTGTGTCACTGCTTCTATGGCCATGTACATGTATGGAAGTTTTCTGAAACGAAATTGGTCAACCCCCTCCCACCCCATAACGAAATTATTTTGTTTTGTGAAAAAAGTTCGATAATTATGGACGACCCCTTAGGGGCTATCCGGCATTATCGATAATTTTCAAGAAACGAAAAAGTTTCGTTAGGACCCTCCCCCTCCCCCCCCCCCCCCCCCCCCCTGAACGAAAAATGGATTGACTTGACAGCAAGAATGCCTTGATGTCTCTCATATCGATCTTTTTCGAAACGAACCTCCCCTTGACCCACCCACCCATAAACGAAACTACCGTAAAATCCCGTTAATAAGGCCCGGGCGTATACTTTGCAGAGCGTCAAAAACCGGGCGTATATTTGGGCATGGGCTTATTTTAGGGCATGGGGTTATTATTGACGCAATCTGCAGAAGATCAATCTTCCTCCTCACGCGCCACTAGTGCACTACGAGCCACTATGTACAGGTAAGCGCGACATGTTTTGCTACATTTTTTTGGCAGTTTGCCACATTCCAACGGAACATTGCTGTCCGCGGCCTCGCGCGCCGTGACAGTGTTGAGTTCTGCACTGTGCTGCGTGCAGTTGGATGGCACGCACTCCATCTACAACTGTTCTACAGTTTGTACGCGAACGCACGCTCGCTGGCTGGTCATTTTGAGTCCACTTTACGCCCTGGGCTTATTTCGGGCATGGGCGCTAAAACAGACTTGAAGTGTACACCGCCTAAAACTGGGCTTATTATCGGACATGGGCGTTATTTAGGGTGGGCTTATTTACGTAATTTTATGGTATTTCTCTTCCTGTAAAAGATTGATAATTATGGACGACCCCTTACTGCGTACCGAAGTGTCGTGTATTAGAGCCTGTCTCGTATAGAACCCTGTTTTGAATAGAAGCCTGATTTTCAAGATACACTGTCGGCACATACGCCTGGTTTTAGTTTTGACATACATAGAAATACCTGTCTCACTTAGAAGCCTGCAGAATTTCCCCAAGAAAGTCCTATAAGCCGCGGCTTTTATACACGATTTTACGGTACGTCATTTAAACTGTTTGTGGGTGTGTGTGTGTGTATTTGTGTGTGTATGTGTGTGTGTGTGTGTGTGTGTGTGTGTGTGTGTGCGCTTGCGTGCGTGTATGTGTGTGTGTGTGTGTGTGTGAGTGTGTGCGTGCATGTGTGCGTGTGTGTGTTTCAGGTCATCCATTTTGAACGATGTCCGGACGTCATCGGCTCCAAGACAACGCGTTGCCGCTAAGAACCTTCTCATTGTGGGTGAGTTTTGTTGTTGTTGTTGTTGTTGTCGTTGTTGTCGTTGTTTCAAATCTTTATTCTCACTATAGCCAGTGGCCAATAAGAGATAATAGTGTAAGAAAGGAGAAAGAGTGTGGAAGAATTGGGTGGGCAGAGCCTAGGGGTTAATGACTACTTAAGTGTACGGGCAGGGGTGGTCGCTACACGAGCATACTGAGTTGTGCAACAGCAGGGATATCTGGGATTTGAAGAGAGTACCAGAAGGGATTTCGCGAAGCTGGGTGGGCAAGCAATTAAAGTAATGAAGGGCCTTGTACAGGGGAGAATGGAGACAGCGATCAGTCCTCGGAGTTGGCAAGTGCCAAGTACGAGAGCGACGTAAATTATACAAAGGTTGCACGTTGCTAGCAGTATGCAGCGAGAGTATATGTGGTGGGGCAGGATTGTGGCGCAGAGAATGCGCGAAGAGTATATGTTTAACTTTAAAGCGTGAAAATAATGTTGGCCAATTGATGCGATGCAAAAGGTGGGAGGGGTTGTTGTTGTTGTTGTGCTGCTGCTGCTGCTGTTGCCGGTGCCGTTGTTGTTGTTGTTGTTGTTGTTTGTTTTGCGGTTCAATAGCCAATTGAGGCATCTTCCCAAGATACCTTTTGAATCTCTCTCCCCTCTTCGGGGGTGACTCGAGTGAGCAAGCACAGTACACTACACTGTGCATGCATGTGTTTGTTTGGATACTCTTGCTCTTGAGTGACCAGCTTTGTTGTTTACAATCTGAATCGTGTGTGTGTGTGTGTTTGTGTGTGTGTGTGTGTGTGTGTGTGTGTGTGTGTGTGTGTGTGTGTGTGTGTGTGTGTGTGTGTGTGTGTGTGTGTGTGTGTGTGTGCGTGGACGATTCTCCTTCCCCATGCTTTTTTTCCCCGGGGGCAGGCGATGTCAACTCCGGCAAGAACTCGGTCGTCACCCGACTACGACACAAGGATGCCAGCAGTGGGCCCGAAGTGGACGAGGCCCGTGGCTGTGGCATGGAGTACACGTATGTGGATGTCAACTACGAGGATTTCGACGGTAAGCCACCAACCATCTCATTCTCACTGACAGTCTTGCGGCGAGCCAGAAGATGTTGTAGTGTATAAATAAATAAATAAAGCCGTGAACTCCTGTGCTCAGCTATGGCAAACACAGCTGTTTCTATACATGTACAGTGCTGTTCAGTGCAATCCGATCGCGTCACTCAACACTCAAGTACGCGCCGGGCGTTGTGCAGCCCTACATGTAGACCTGCGAACACTGGTATGCGAAATGGTGCTACAGTCCATTCATTTGCGGAAGGAAAACTACTACAGTCCATTCATCGGAAACAGTCCAGGATTTGGGCAGAATTGAGGATCAAAAACCCACTTAAAATCTCAAAAATCTGGGTGTAGGATCTGTTTGTCATACATTTTGCCATGACATACCTGTCCTAATTTTGTAAAACCTGGCTGAATTTCTATTTCCCTGTTCTTGGACTTTTCTGGCCTCAAATGTGGCAAGGAGTAATTGCACGGGTCGCACAATGCAAGGTGTACTGTTGTTTTCACGATATCTACAACTATGTGAGAGAGACACCAAAATGTTAGGGTGCCGGTTTCCAATGAATGGACTGTAGGTGCAAACTTGACTCACGTGATCGTATTTCATTGAGCGGCCCTGCACAATGCTGCTCAATGAAATCCGATCGCGCGAATCAAAAGTTTGTGCTGTTCACCCTGTTCACAAGTAAAGAATCACAACCCATTGTTCGCAGGTCCAGGGTTGCACAGCGCACGGCGGGGCGTTCACTCGCTTGATCAGCGTTCAGTGAGCAGAGCTGTAGATGAGCCATGCTTTGCAACGCTAGAAACGGGGAAAAAGTGATCACCTTGGCCGGGTGGTGTCGGCGGGGAAGTGCTGAAGCTGCACATTCCTGGATTAGGGAACCACCGGTGCCCGATAACCACGATTGTGGCTACCTTCAGTGGTCCGTTGAGCGGTGTTGAGCGGTCGCCATAGACAGATTCTACCGTTGTATACTGTAAAGCATGTAGTGTTTGCCGCAAGAAATGTTTTATTTTATTTACAAATGCAGACTGGTTTCCGCTGTTCGGTGTTTGCGATGGGGTACTTCACGGTGAATGTAAATAGCATATCTCCCTGTACAACAGAGATGTGAGTGCTTGCATAGAGTGCAGCTGTCTGTGTTCACCACATCTCTCTACGCAGCACGGATGTGTCCGCTTGTGTAGGGTGTGGCTGTCTGTGTGTCCACCACATCTCTCTACGCAGCACGGATGTGTGTGCTTGTGCAGGGTGGAGCTGCCTCTCACCACCACATCCCCATGCAACACAGATGTGCGTGCTTGCGTACGGTGTGGCTGTTTCTACCTATTCGTGCAGAAGTGTCTGTTCGTCCATGGCGTGCATGATTGAGGCGTTCACCTGTCCTGACAGTGCTGCTGCTACTGGTGTTTCTCTTGTTGGTCTTGTTAGATGTGTATGCGCGATTAGGCGTGTGGATACTGGATGGAGATGAGAAGTATCAGCCGCTGTTGAACTACTGTCTCAATGAGAAAAGCATTGATACGGCGGTGGCAATGGTGGTCGTCGACCTCTCTAAGCCGTGGACTGTGCTGTCGTCTCTGCAACGGTGAGGGTGTATTCGTGTGTGTACGCGTGTTTGTGTGTGTGTGCACGTGCACAGGCACGGGCATGTCTTCTTGTTTGGGGTTGGGTGCATTGCGGTTCTCTCTTGTCTTGTCATCTGCAGTCTCTCTTTCTCTCTCTCTTTCTTCCTCCCTCCCTCCCTCCCTCCCTCCACACACTCGCATGCACGCACATTCTTACTCCCACTCACGGTCTCTCTCTCCCGCAATATCTCTCTTTGCATTTGGCCTTTGCGTGCAGGTGGCTGTCGGTTCTTGGTCAGCACATCAACTCTCTGAAAATCGACCCGAAGCAGAGAAAAGAAATGGAAGAGAAACGTACGTTCTTCTAGCTAAGGCAGCCTGTCTGTCTTTCTTTCTTGCTTCTTACTCCGACTTGTCCCTGTCTGTTTTCAATTGGAATGTTCATTGGCTCGTGAGGTTCATCCTGTTTTGTGCTGCTTGCGTTTAACTAGAAGGAGCGTGTTAAACGCTGAACAGCTATGTCACACCACAGGTACACGAACAGAAGTTGTGTTGGTACCCACCACTGCATGTACAGTTGCGCCCGGTGAAGTCCAACCCCGAGTGCATATTTGGTGCTCTCATCTAACTAACTTTATTGTTAATTTCACATCCCTCGGTACCCTGGAAATGGCGCAAATGCCTGCTGGACATACATCTGTTCGAATGCAATGATGGAATAGGACCTGTCCAGGGTGCTACTGTTCTGCACCTTGGGTCGGATTTCACCCAGGGCAACTGTCCGTTGAAGTACATGTCTAAGCTTTGACATGTAGCATGCACTGCGTTCATCTCCATTACGAATACCCCCCCCCCCTCTCTTTCTCCCTCTCTCTCTCTCTCTCTCTCTCTCTCTCTCTCTCTCTCTCTCTCTCTCTCTCTCTCTCTCTCTCTCTCTCTCGCGCGCGCACACGCGCGCGCGCGCGCGCACACTCACACACACTCACTCACTCTGTCTTCTTGTAACTCATTGTCTTCTGCAGAGGTAAAGTTCTTCCAATCCTATACCGAGCCAACAGAAGCATCCCCGGCTGGCACTGGACCAGCAGCAGGAGCAGCGGGTTCAACAGCGGCTGGTACAGGAGCGGACGATGAGAAAGTTCTCCTGCCTCTCGGCGAAGATGTGCTCGTGGAAAACTTGGGAATTCCTATTGTTATCGTTGCTGCAAAGGTGAGTTTTCTTAGTTGTTTTAACATGGAAATTGTGGGCACCAGTTATGCGATCGAGTCCACCAACTAAACCAGATTTTGAACAGTCAGACGTGCACAATCTAGCTCGAAACTGACACGGAGTACCGAGACATTCCATGGCACGAAAGTCAGGTTGAGCACTGCTCGATAGCGCTAACCAACGGCCTTCCCACTTGGAAGGTTCATGGATATTAGTGCGAACTCCAAAGAGGGGAAGTGGAATGTCTCAGTACTCCTTGTCAGTTTTGTGCTAGATTGTGCACGTCTGACTGTTCAAAATCTGGTTTAGTTGGTGGACTCGATCGCATAACTGGTGCCCACAATTTCCATGTTACAAAAATTCCTTGGTTCACGATCTGACTTTTTACTGTTTGTTTTTTTTTTCTCTTTTTCTTTGCAATCTTCTCTGTGTCATTTAATTAGGATCTGTGAAGGAATTGTTGTCGGTACTTGCAAAGCCGCATGTGTTTAGGATACATTTGTGTGTGTGCGTGTGTTTGTGCGCACGTGCGTGTGCGTGTGTGTGTGTATTGTGCACGTACGCCTGTTCAGTCTGACGCGTTTGCACAGCTGGAGAAAGAGGACGACTACAGCGAGGAACACTTTGACTTCATTCAGCTGCAGCTGCGACGAGTCTGCCTGAAATGTATCCTTGCCTCTCTCTCGCCTGTTGTGTGTGTGTGTATGTTTGTGCGTGTGTGTGTGTGTGTGCATGTGCGTGCGCATAATTATATGTGTGTATGTGTACATGCATGTGTGTGTGTGTGCATGCGCACGTGTTTATTTTCGCATGGCTTTCTTCGCTTCTATAAGCTCTGCACTGTGTGATACTTTCGAAGGCTGCGATAGAGGTTGTGCAAATAAAACCATCGTGTTTGCTTTGTCAAATCATATTCGTGATGCCACTCCAGTGACTCCACGCAAAATGCATCAAATGATAACGTCTTCGCCCGATCTCTATTTTTTGCCTTGGTCGATTGTTACAGTTGATCGAAAACTGGACCCCTCAAATTTTTTAGTGCAATCAAGAGTGTGATCAATGCAGACATGGCCACACAACATTACGACGTAGAGGTTTTAAGATTATTATAAATACGAGTATTCCGAAATCTATATTTTCGCTTTCTTTTCTCCAAGCCGACTGTTCAAATAGTTTTGGTGGCATATGTTTTACCAAGAGTACATAACCCCCCAGAGTGTGCAGCTCCCACATACCCTGCTGTCCCGACAGAATTTCTAGTTGACGTCATTATTTATGACGCAATGCTCCTTGCACCAGTGATTTACAACATGTGTACGGGTGTCAACGCATCACACGTTATTCTTTGCAATAATTTGTACAGGATCGATCGGCTTCGGTCAACCACAGGTTCCGGATTCGTCTGATAATCCGTGTACAGTGCGCATTGCATCATCAAAATGACGTCAACTTGAAATTCTGTCGGGACAGCACCCATAGTGGAGTTGAACACTCTGGGGGGTATGTACTCTTGGTTTTACGTAATAGTGTTATAGAGTATGTACAGTGCGTAGCCCGGTGAATTTGGGCCAGAAGCGGCACCCAGAGCTGATTACTCTAATTTCAGAAATTTTCCGTGCTCAATATTTTCGGTATGAGGGCAAAAGGCCAGGTTAGGTGAACAGAAATTTTCGGTACAGACAAGCAGTTCCCTATTGGATTATGTGTGTCAGTGTTTGTTCGGTGTATTGAAATTTTAGGTGTGAAGCAGATACACCGAAAGTACCGAAAATTAAATTTCTGAAATTACAGTACTCGTTAGCTTGAGGGGCAGTCACTCTCGACTCTTGTTCACGGTTTGGGGATGTACACCAGTTAGCACAAATCATTATTATCCTTGACTATGTCTGCTAACTGCTGGTGGTGCTGGTGCTCTCCCTGATCAGACGGCGCCTCTCTGGTGTACGTGTCGAGCAAGGACAGCAGGAACTGCGATCTGCTGTACAGCTACCTGATTCACGTTGCGTACGATCTGCCGTTCAAGGACGTCGCCACCGTCGTCGACCGCGACGCCATTTTCGTGTAAGTGCGAGCACGCCAGCGCTAAGACTTAGTACAGTCGGACCTCGCTTATCCGGTCCTCTTTTATCCGGATCCCTCGTCATCCGGAAGAAAATCGTTGGTGACCGATATGTACAGCATATGCCATGCATACATACAGTATGTGTGTTCGATTATCCGGTTCCCTCGCCTATCCGGATATTTTTTTGTGGAAAGCGGACGTGTGCGGTTAAGCGAGGTCTGAGTGTGCATGTACTAAGAGTGTGAGTGGACTGAGTGCTTTGTTTTGTACTGTCGTGGCCATTGAATCAAATGAGATACCCGGGGCCAGCGCCCTTACATGCACTGTAGTTCGGGTGCACACAGTAAAAAAAATTGGCCAGCAGATGCTGCAAGGCCAGCGCCACGTGGCCGCTCGACGCCCAGCGGATTTCAAGGTCCGCTACAGTACCTCGTTTTGTACCTGGAGCGCGTAGCCCGTGTGCTCGGCAGCTCGTGGGGGCTACAGGGGCAAGGCATTTGATTGCGGCGAGAATGCAGTGGGTTTATGGATGTCTGGCAGTGTGAAATGGCCTCACAAGAACAGCTGGGATCTACTAGTGCCTGGTGGTGTAGGGAGAGGGAGAGAAAGAGACTGGCGAAAATGTGCACAGCTTTATAGGAATGCGAAACCTTGTTAACCTTGAGTCTTGTGTTTGTCTCTCGTCTTGCAGGCCCATGGGCTGGGATAGCGGGAAGAAGATTGCACTCCTGCAGGAGCAGATGACGACAATGTCTGCAGACGACACGTTCGAGGAGCGTATTCCCGAGCCGCCATCGCGGAAGGTGAGCGTCTGCTCTGGCTGTACCTTCTCATTATCGTATTTTCCGGAGTATAAGCTGAACCGAGATTTTTTGGTTACGAAATACAGATACTGTAAATATACAAAATTTCGGCGCTGCAAAATTTCGGCACTTCACAATTTTTGATAATTCGGCGGCGATTTATTTTCGGCGTGGGGTAGAGGGCATGGTATAGTGCGACAGATGCTGTGAAAAATTTCATCGGCGTTTTAATTTAGGCGTTTTGGGTCGGTGCCGAATATAGCCGAAGTTAAATAGCTGCCGAAAATTTGTATATTTACAGTATCTACTGTGCACTACTTTGCGGTTCATTTGCCCATCGTAGTATAAGCTGCACCGACTTTTTTTGGGTGAATTACTGTATTCCAGATATTTCAACGTCAATAAGTTAACGATCTCCCGATTTTTGTGGGTTTTAATATAGCGAGGTGAAATTCTAACGAGTTCTGTCTCAAAACCGGCAAATGACTGTACATGTAAATATCGTTTTGCACATAACGACTTCAAATGTTTTAAGACGATTCTGTCAAATCCGAACAGTATGAGTGTTTTAGAAGTAACTTTGGATTATACTCCGGAGAATACGGCTGGTGAATCCTAGGCTTTTTGGCCCAAACACGCACATACTAAACTGTTCTTTCCAAAGGTGTAGGGGCATGGGGGGATTGAACATGCCCCAGTGTGCCCCGTACTGGCTCCACACCTGATCCCTCGCGTACTCTTGTTGGCTGGAATATCTCCTTGTTTGTCACTGCTCAGCCCGCACAAGATCAAGTTCCTGTCACAGCCGAGGCTGACCAGATTTTCTTGCTGCGTCAGCAAGCTCATCTGGGCATCCCTGCTGCTTCAGGTGGCTCTGCCCCGCCAAGAGCTGGGGTAAGAGCTAGACACGTGTTATGTGCTGTGTATACTACTGCACTGCTGATCGTCTTCCGGGCTTGTGTTGGCCAGCTCTCTGTCTGGCTCGCTTTACTGGATTCTACTATTTCTAGACTGTATTCTTCAGGCTCACTTCAGGCTCGACTCGCATTGCAAACTTCCTTGTTATTGTGTTTCCAACTAACTAACTATTAAAGAAGAAGACTACTGAAGACTAGCCGAAAGGAAAAGCACCTGCGTCTTATAACAGCAGGGCAACATAAAGCACAGCAGGCCGAGCAGGGCGGCATAAAAGGCACAGCAGGCCGAGCAGGGCGGCATAAAAGGCACATGTGAAACCAGAGACCCGGACCCGTCAAAGCATGCAAATGAGGGCCGCTCTATCGCCTGACATGAATGCATACAAACCAGTACACATGACCATGCGTGCACATCTCCCCCTTCACTCACGAAATGGCATATGAGTGAGTACATGAGCAAGGCAGTGCAGCAGCAAGAATGAGTGCACAGGAAGGCAGCATATGGAAAGTGCAGACGGACAACCACAAGAGAAAACATCAGAAACATCAGAAAAGACTAGAGACAGCACACCAGTGTCAGAGCACCAGCACTCTAACTAACAGAACAGCGCAGCTAACTGTCTGTCTCGACCGGGCGTCGCCTCACTCCACGGGGAGCGGAATGAGGCGTTGGATGGCTCGCCGGTAGATCTTGCCCCGGATCTCAACATCCACCACCCTGACGCAACTGTCTGGTCCGGGGAAGACACGCCTCACCCTGCCCAGTGGCCAACTGCCCCGGGGTGTGTCGGGCTCGATACACAGCACCACCTCATCGACAGCGATGTTCTTCTGCGTCTTGCGCCACTTCCTGCGCTGGTTCAGCAGTGGGACGAACTCCAGGAGCCATCTCCTCCAGACCTCCTTCACTGTGCGCTGCACGACGGCGAAGCGATCTCTGGGGTGGACTTGCTCTGTGGCGTTCAGTTTCTCTTCCAACGGCAGAGGTGGGTCGCAGCGTCCTGCAAGGAAATGCTGCGGAGTCAGCGGCTCGAGGTCGGCGGCGTCGGCACTGACTGTTGTCAGCGGACGGGAGTTGATGAGGTCCTCTGCGGCGACGATGGCGGTGTGTAGCTCCTCATCAGTGAGCTCAGCGGTGGCCAGTGCGGATCTCAGAGCGCGCTTCGCTGCCTTAATCATAGCTTCGAAGACGCCTCCAAAATGCGGTGCTCTGGGTGGGTTGAACCTCCACCGGATGTGTCGATCAGCGAGACTGCGCGCGATCTCTGCGCGATCGAGCTGCTCCACGGCTTCTCGTAGCTCCCGTTCAGCCGCGACGAAATTTGAGCCGTTATCGGTGACGATGATGCTTGGCGTGCCGCGCCGCTTAACAAAGCGGTTGAACGCCATGAGGAACCCCCCGGTATCCATGGAGTAGGTGAGCTCCAGATGGCAGGCACGGGTTTCCAGGCACGTCATGAGACAGAGGTAGCGCTTCGCTCGGGTTCTGCCTCGTCCTTGCTTTGTCTGGAACGGCCCGGCAAAGTCGATGCCGCAGTGCGAGAATGGTTGGAGAGACCCGGCAGTCCGAAAGTCCGGCAGAGCGCCCATGATCTGCGCCGCCGGTACACCCCAGTTCTTCCGACACGGAACGCACGACTGGCGTGCCGTCTTGACTGCTGATGCCCCGTTTACTATCCAGAACCTCTCCCTCAGGTTGGACAGCAGATGCTGAGGTCCCACGCTGTGGCGGCACCTCCGGTCCTCCTTCTCGATCAGCAGCCGCGTGACAACGTGCTTCTGAGGCAGGATGATCGGTAAGCGTACACGATATGGCAAGTGTTTCGCAGCCTTCAAACGGCCTCCGACCACCATCAGCGGTTCAGCATGTTGATCTAGCGTCGGGGTTAGCGCCGCCAGCGGGTCGCTAGCCTGCATTGGCTTTCCGGCGGCCAGACGCTCCAGGGTTGGGCCGTACGCGTCCTTCTGCGCCTGTCGTATCCAGTGCCTCTCAGCGCGGCCTACCTCACCCGCCGTCAGCTCTGGCACGTTGACAGTAGGGTAGTTCGAGTTGGCTGCTCGCGAAGTCGACACTGCAACGGTGACGTCTTGATAGCTGCTGGTATCCTCCCCCTTCATGCCGACGCGTGGCTTGCGGCGGCATCGGCTGACAAACCGGTAGCACCACGCAGTCACCCTGAGCAGCTGCTCCCAGGTGCGGTATCTGGACGCCTGGAGGCGAGTGGTTGACGTGACGGCAAGCGTGAACGTGGTCTCCCGCTGGATGACGCCTGGCAGACCTTCTGTGGACGCTGACTTCTCAGGCGGCCATACGTCTGGTTGCTGCGACAGGAATGCGGGTCCGTGCCACCACACCCGGTCCTCCGCCAACTCCTTCGCTGGTAGCCCACGGGTACCCTTGTCGGCGGGGTTCTGCTTGCCGGGTACGTGCCTCCACTGGGAGGGCTTCGTGGCGTTCTGTAGCTCTGAGACGCGGTTGCCGATGTCGACCTTGAACCTGCGGCTGTGCGAGCGGATCCACCCCAACACGTTCATGGAGTCCGTCCAGAACGTGTGCTCGGCGACCGGGATGTCCAGAGCGTTGCCAACTTCGCTGCTGGTCCGCAGACCCAAGACGGCGCCGCGAAGCTCCAGCTGGGGGATGGTCTGCCGACGAGCCGGGGCTGTCTTGGCCTTGGCCATGGCGAGCGTCACCCGCACGTTGCCGGCTGCATCCTCTGCGCGGATGTAGGTCGCCGCAGCGATGGCACGGTCAGACGCATCCGTGAACGTGTGGACGGAGAGGATGGACTCTGTAGCCGCCTTGAAACTGCGTGGCGCGTTGATGGCGGCCAGGTCGGGCAGCTCGTCAAACCACTCCCTCCACTTTCTGGCGTGTGTGGGAGGAAGCTCGTCGTCCCACGCCTGGTCCAGCAACCAAGTGTCCTGCAGCAGCACGCGGGCACGGATTGTGAACGGCGCAATTTGCCCACGAGGATCGAACGCCGACGCCAGGCCGCTGAGGACGGAGCGCCGTGTCAGCTTGGTGAACTCTGGTCGCTTAAAATGAAAGCTGAAGACGTCTTTATCCGCTGACCAGGTGACTCCCAGCGTCTTCGTAGTAGGCAGAGTGCAGTGGATATGCTCACCGACATTGAGTGTAGCGGATGCGGCTCGATCAGCAGCTGGTATGCTCTGCAGGACTTCCGCGCTGGTGGACAGCCACTTGCGCAGGTGAAACCCGCCGCGCGACAGGATGTCCTGGAACTGGACGCGGCTCTCCACTGCGTCGGCCACCGATGGGCGCGGTGTCAGCAGGTCGTCGACATAGCGGCTCCGCTCCAGAGCGTCGGTAATTGCGGCTGAGTATTGCGGGCCGAATCTGCGCAGTACCTCCTGGACTGCCTTGCCCGCCAGGTAAGGCGAGGCCTTGATGCCGAACACCACACGCTGAAACTCATACACCCGCGGCTGGTTGTCGTCGAAGCGCCAGAGAAACCGGTGGTATTTGCGGTCCTCTTCCCTGAGAGCCACTTGGAGAAACATCTCCGAGATGTCAGCTACAAGTGCTACAGGCTCGGCACAGAACCGGATCAGGACCTTGACAATGTCGGTCTGAAGTGCCGGGCCGCTGAACATTTCATCATTAATCGATCGCCCGTCCCACTTGGCCGCGGCGTCGAACACGATCCGCACCTTGGTCGTCTCCTTGTCGTTGCGGACGACCGGAAAGTGCGGCAGGAACCATTGCTGAGCACCATCGGCGTCCACCTCCCTGCTGGGCACTTCACGGATGTACCCCTTGTCGAGATGGCTCTGCATGACGTCGTGGTACTGCTGTTGTACTCTCGGGCGGCTGTTCAGTGAGCGTTCCAGGCTGCGCAGTCGTTGCGCGGCTTGCGGCCGGTTGGAGGAGATGTGGGGCTCGGGATCAACCCACGGAATGCCCAACTCCACCCTTCCATCGACGAACCGGGCCGTTGCGTTGGTGCGCTCCTCCACCTGGCTGTCCTCAGCAGATGGCATAGCGTCGTAGCAAGGCGGCCGTGCGCCGGCTGACTCCATGCCGAGATGGTTTCGGACGAGCGTCTCGAGGCTCAGATCCTCTGATGTAGGCGTGACGACTGCTGAGAAGCTGGCAGGGGCCAAATCTGCTCTTCCTGGGCTCAAACACACCCAGCCCAGTGGGGTGAGTCGGGCAATCGGGTGGTTAGGCTGCGCTGTAGTGGCTTCCTGCCGTACGGTGTGCAGCTCGATGGCGTTGAGACCGATCAGCACGTCGATCCGCCCCTCCACTGAGGGGAACGGGATGTCGCGGAGATGCTCCCAGCTCTGCTTGCTCTGGCTCCAGTCCACCGGCTGCACGCTCGGGCACACTGTTGGCAGCGCCCAGGCGCGGAACTCCGATATCGAGCCGTCAGCTTTGTCGACCGCGACGGTGACGTGCTCGTACGTACCGGTCACTTGCCCGCCGCCCAGGACGGACGCCGTCAGCTGCTTTCGTGGGCCACACACGCCAATGGCAGAAGCGGTCTGCTGCCTGATGTAGCTGGTGGACGACGCAGGGTCCAGCAGCGCAGTGCCTTGCACCCTCCTGCCGTTGTGGCTGAGGACAACAGGTACCGTCATGAACGACAGCGGCAATGCTTCGGGCGGTTTGTCCTCCTCACGCCGCTCAGCTGTTGCCATGGCGGTGTCGAGAGCAGACGTCACGTGTGTGGTGTGTGCCTCCGTACACGACTCGGTTGAAGCGTCAACTGTGACGTGAGCCGTGTGACGACCGTGTCTCTCCGCTGGTGCTGGCTTGGTCGGCTTGGTGCCACCGGGCGCATCTCGCTTTGGCCTGTCGGAGTGCAGCAGTGCGTGGTGTCGTCGTTGACAGGCGCCACAGCTCATCTTGCATGCCGTGGACCAATGGCCAGGCGACAGGCAGCAGCTGCAGATGTCCTTGCAGGCGCGCACAAATTCCCATCGCTGCTGAACCGTCAGAGATTTGAACCTCGGGCACGCGCTCAGGTGATGCGTGCCCTTGCAGCTTGCGCACTGGTCTGGACCGACCGCGAAGGTGAAGTCTCCTGACCGTGGCGGACGCTTGGGCGCGACGCTGGGTGGGCATGGCTTCTGGGACTGCACGACTCGCCGTGCACTGGCTGGCTCCGAAGCCGCGATCCGTTCGTTCACCCTTGTGAGCTTGTGAACGCGCTTGAGCAGGAACGCGGCAAATGCGTCAATGTCACACTGGGTGTCGTCCTGCTTCTCAAAGTAAGCTGAAAGGACCGAACGCGGCACCTTCTGCGTCACTGAGAGATACAGCTCTCGCCCGGGCGCTATCCTGGCCACCCGCAGGTTCAACAGCGTGTTCCTCAGCTTGACGGCCAGCGTCTTCAGCTCATCCAGCTCGCGCTCCGTGTTGATTCGCGGCCAACTCATGAGCTCGCGTTCCTGCTGTTCGAGGCTACGGTCTGTGCCCCCGTACCACCGATCCAGCTCCTCCATGATGGCGGAGTAGGCGCCCGGGCCGTCTAGCACGTCCGCGATCAAGTCTTCGGCCGCTCCGTCCGCCAGTGCCTCCCGCAAGTGCGCGAGCTTATAGTCCTCTGACAAGAGCGGGTTCTCGTGTACTAGACGGAGAAACCGCTGACGCCACTTCACATAGGACAGCATCTTGCCATCGAACTTTGGCAGGTCCAGTGGCTTCAGGGACCTGCAGACTCCCATCTGGAACATAGCCGCTCCGTCTGCCCAATCGACTGCTGGGTCGGTCGCCCTGGTGGGCGGGAAGTAGGGTTCCGCTGCAGGGTTGAGTCCTGCTTCCTTGGGCTTGAAGGCCTGCTGGACTGGACGGAGTCGCAAAGGCACTGGCGGGACTGGCTTAGGTGGTGGGCTGGGTCCCGCTCCCTTGGGCTTGAAGGCCTGCTGGACTGGACCAAGTCGCAAAGGCACTGACGGGACTGGCTTAGCTGGTAGACGTCTGGGCTTCGCACGTGGGGCTGGGGTTGGAGCAGGTCGATACTTGAGCAGGCTTGCTCTCGGCACTGGAGCTGAGGTGTTGGGTTGCACTGCAGGCTGCACTGGCTGTTGCATGTTCGGCTGCATGGGCTGCTGTGCGGGCTGTGACCCAGACCCCTGTTCTAACCCGGGCCTGCGATGAGCCACTGCGCCAGCACCTGCGTCGCTGAAGGCACTTCGACTGAAGTGGTTGGCCAGCCTGCGCTTGGCCTCCGCGTCCGATCGCGCACGACGACTTCCCACGCCGCGTGGCCAGCTCCCACCATCGACATCCTCGCTCTCTAGCTCTGAGCTCTCTGGCTCTGAACTCGAGGTATCCACAGCAGAACTTCGCGCTGCCCTGGCACTGCTCGCGCTGGCCAACTCCTCCGCCGCCCTCGCCTGCTCGACTTCGAGCTCCTTTTCCGCCAGGTAGATTTGGAGGTCGATCTCCCGCTGCTTCAGAGCGGCGATCCGCCGTGCAGTCTCCAGTTCTGCCTCCTTGTTCCTACGCAATATCGCAGCTTCAAGTTCAACGCCCCCGACTTCAAGGCTCTCGCTCGCGGACGTCCTGCCGCCGCTCCTGCGTCCCGACCGCCTCGGCTCTTGGGCCTGCTCCCCATCGGAGAGGAACCGCTTGGGCATCTTACCTAGGGTTCTCCTGCTACTCCTTCGTGGGAACTCCATGACAGGCAACGGAAACCGAGACTTTCTGCTGGTCGTGATCCGGCTCGAAGGACCAGTTTATGGCCAGCTCTCTGTCTGGCTCGCTTTACTGGATTCTACTATTTCTAGACTGTATTCTTCAGGCTCACTTCAGGCTCGACTCGCATTGCAAACTTCCTTGTTATTGTGTTTCCAACTAACTAACTACTAAAGAAGAAGACTACTGAAGACTAGCCGAAAGGAAAAGCACCTGCGTCTTATAACAGCAGGGCAACATAAAGCACAGCAGGCCGAGCAGGGCGGCATAAAAGGCACAGCAGGCCGAGCAGGGCGGCATAAAAGGCACATGTGAAACCAGAGACCCGGACCCGTCAAAGCATGCAAATGAGGGCCGCTCTATCGCCTGACATGAATGCATACAAACCAGTACACATGACCATGCGTGCACATGTGTGTGTATGTGTGGGGGGGGGGGGGCCTTGCTCACACGATGTCTCACACAATGAGTCTCTCTCTCTCTCTCTCTCTCTCTCTATTTCTGTCTATCTATCTCTATCCCTCCTTCACACACGCGCACAAACACACACACATACACATACACACCATGTACCATGTATACGCCCGTCGCAAGAGAAGCACACAAATCTGCAAATGCACTGGATGTGCACCCACAGATTTTCTCTTATAGCAACGATAGCGAACAAGATCTGTATGAGACAGATCAAGACTTGCGCCAGATAATTGTCCAATCCACACAACTGGCGAAGCCATGTGAATCGACCACCAATGCACACCTGGTCTACACCACACGGAGTACATCGGCATAAAACAGCCAAGACAGTTACCTATGCACACCCTACACTTGCTGGGGTAACCAGTATGGACAGCACGCTGCTTTGATAGAAGCAGACACTAGATGCACTGATACCTTGAAGTGAAATTGGAGTTACTTTACCAACCAGCCTCGGCTACTGAGTACTGAGAACCCAGAGCCAACAGACATACCAACAACCTCAGCCATGAAAGCTATTATAGTAACGACACACTGGATTGTGGAGCCGAAACTAGTCCAACTTCCAAATACTTTGGCAAGAAGGTAGATACACACACACACACACACACACACACACACACACACACACACACACACACACACACACACACACACACACACACACACACACACACACACACACACACACACACACACACACACACACACACACACACACACACACACACACACACACACACACACACACACACACACACACACACACACACACACACACACACACACACACACACACACACACACACACACACACACACACACACACACACACACACACACACACACACACACACACACACACACACACACACACACACACACACACACACACACACACACACACACACACACACACACACACACACACACACACACACACACACACACACACACACACACACACACACACACACACACACACACACACACACACACACACACACACACACACACACACACACACACACACACACACACACACACACACACACACACACACACACACACACACACACACACACACACACACACACACACACACACACACACACACACACACACACACACACACACACACACACACACTCTTCTCTCCATGTGTTTTCAATGGTTTCACATGCTGTGCTTGAGAAAAGACACCGGAACCCTTCTGCAAACCGTACAGTCATACCTGTGCAAGGCGACTGCTTCGGAATGCGGTCTCCTGATCCAGGCTTATTTGACTGGAGATAGCATTCCTTGGTCCTGGTTGTAGTGGTCTTTTGCCAAAGTTTTGGGCAGGTAGTCGCCTTGTCCGGCAGGTTTTACTGTATAGCAGAAGGAAGGACTTCTGGTGCTGGTTCCTCCGGGAGAAATGTCACGAGACTCACGGAAGTGGAGGGTATATAAACGTTCATCTCTTTGTTCATTTCTGGTGGTGGTGCTGCCGTCACCGCTGCTGCTGCTGCTGCTTTTGCTGCTGTTGCCGCTGCTCTGATTCTGTGTCTGCTAATGATCCCATTTCTGTTTCTGCCATTGCTTTCGGCTGCTGCTGCTGTTGTCGTTGTCATGATCAGGATACGCCGGCACAGCGGGTTCCTGCTGCAAACAACCGCTCTCCGCGCACCGAGCGCAGGGCACCCGCTCCGGCCACCACGGCATCTGCAGCGTCGGCCGTAGCAGCCGGCGGTACCGGCGAGACCGTCTTGGCCAGCTTTTTCCAGAGCCTGCTGCAGAAGAAGCCCGGCGCAGGTGAGTTTCACCGCACCACTTTTCGGGCCGGTTGTCATTATTATTACTTGAAGTATTATTTGTTTAGAGAGCTGATGGGAGTTTGGCGATCGATCGGGCGTATCTGTATGCATGATGTACGCAGTAGAAACCAGGGAGCCTTGCATGTGCCATGTGGTATCAAGACTTTTTCAAGAGTATAACCTCCCAAGAGTGTGCAACTCTGCATCTGGGGTCTCAGGCGGCGAAAACTAAAACTCACATCACATGTCTCAGGTACGTTTCGTACTACGTACAAATGAAGGATAGTGTGCACGCAATCCGAATATCTGCCATGATCTTGCTGGGAATTTGCATACGCGCAGTGAGTTTCTGTCAGAGCGTGCTTTTTTTATTACACCCGCTGCTCGCTGAAAACGGGCTGGAAACGTACAACTGCGACACTACACCACGTGATGTGAGTTTTCGCCGTCGGCGTACCCCATAGAAAGGTTATCAGGAGTCGCACACTCTTGGCGGTATCAAGAGTACATAACCCCCCAGAGTGTGCAACGCCTGATCCAGCTCTGCATAGGGTCTTGGTCGAGCGTACTAATCGGATCTTCTGATGTCATGCGTACACTCCACACCAGCGCAAGGCCGGTCTCGAGGCAGGGCACCGTTGTTTTTGATCCGAGAGTACCCACGACTCCCCGGGCTCCCCTCAGATATGTACGGTATTATGACGCAAAGATCCGATTACGCTCGACCAAGACCCTATGCAGAGCTGGATCAGGCGTTGCACATTCTGGGGGGTTATGTACTCTTGATGGTATGTGTAGAACTCCCAGTCCAGTTGAAAGGACAGGTACTGTATTTCCCCGATTATAAGTCGCACCCCCGTTTTCAGGTTTGAGCAATATTGTTTCGATATCTCCACTTCAGTTGTAAGTCATGCTCGATAAGCCCATTGTGCATTGCCAACTATGGAAGGTATGAGTAATGCATGTGAGTACGCTGGGATCAGCAATGTACTGTTCAACACTCCAGACGACCATGCCCAGGTGGCTGTGTGGGGTGTTGTGTGACTACGCTGGGATCAGCAATGTACTGTTCAACACCCCAGACGACCATGCCCAGGTAGCTGTGTGGGGTGTTATGTGAGTACACTGGGATCAGCAATGCACTGTTCAACACCCCAGACGACCATGCCCAGGTGGCTGTGTGGGGTGTTGTGTGAGTATGCTGGGATCAGCAATGCACTGTTCAACACCCCAGAAGACCATGCCCAGGTGGCTGTGTGGGGTGTTGTGTGAGTATGCTGGGATCAGCAATGTACTGTTCAACACCCCAGAAGACCATGCCCAGGTGGCTGTGTGGGGTGTTGTGTGAGTATGCTGGGATCAGCAATGCACTGTTCAACACCCCAGAATACCATGCCCAGGTGGCTATGAAGGGTGTTTATGGTACAAATTAGTGAATTTCGTGATGTAGCGAACGAACTGTTGTCCATGTCCCTGTTTGAACCCATTGTATACTTCTAAAGCTGACCCTTTGTAGCGAACCGTTTTTCGTTTAGTACGAACCGTATGTTTCTGGGCTGCTTGATAACCAAGTGCACGCGTACTGTCATGGGTCACTTGCCAGTCATGACTTGCTGCTTGTATGGTGTGAGTACATTTCTGTTAAAACAAACTTCGGTTGTAAAGAACTAATTCTTCTGCACAATGGTGTTCGGTATACAGTGAAACCAGTCTAAGACGACCGCTCAAGGGACCTGCAAAATGTGGTCTCTGTTGCCAGGCGGTCTCCTTATCCAGGGTCGTTTGACTGCAAATAGCATCCCTTGGTCCTGGTTACAGTGGTCCTCTGAGGCAGGTGGTCGCCTTATCAAAGCGGTCGCCTTGACAGATTTTACTCTATCAGGATTCGACTGTATACATAGTGACTCAACTGTGCATAGATCACAGTACAGTAAAAACCTGGTGTAAGCGACCTCTGTGTTTAGCGACCACCTGCTCTTAACGACCACCTTTCCATGCACGGACACTCCTACGCAGACGCTGTGGGACCTGGTTCTAAAGACCACCTGGCTTTAATGACCGCTTTTGCTTGCACCGTGGCGCGGTCGCTTAAACCAGGTTTTACTGTACATGAAAATAAGAACGGTCTAGGCTATGAGGCTTTTTTTCATTCTGTGCTCTGTCTCTCTCTGTGTGCTTGTGCTTAGCTGGAGGCCGTACTCCTGGCCAACCAGCCACTGGCAGTGCTTCACCGGCCGTGCCCGCTGGCGACAAGAGCCAACCGAAGAAATCATAGGTGTTCAGTCGTCGTCTTGAGCACCCGCCCACCTCGCCATTTCCCTGCTCTCTCTCTCTCTCTCTCTCTCTCTCTCTCTCTCTCTCTCGCTCGCTCGCTCGCTCGCTCTCATTTGGAGGTTGTATTGATGTCAGCCGCGGTGTGAGTTTGCGATACCCGCTCGCCTCAATGCACTGCTGCCCGACTGCTGTGTAGGTGCTGTGTAGGCGCTGTTTCTATCGAGGGAAACTGTTACTTGGTGTCTGCGCGTATTACATATCGTCTGTACGCCATCATGCTTTCCCCGCCTGGACAAGTGCAGCTGGGATGTGATAGCCGTGACGTAAGTGTGCGCCATTGGCGCTACTCGATTCGTCCACACAGCACCTACCCACCTGCATGTTCACACAGCGCACACCTGACCTGCATTGCCCTAGCCGCAAGCATCATAATCATGCGATCAGATGTCCTGCGTCAGTTCTACCCCGGCCCCCGTCTCCTCGCTACATCGATATCCACACTGGCACCCCATGTTGATTATAATTATGCCACGTTTCTTTTCGCTGACCAATTTACTCCCCTCTCGCACGCACGCACATGCTTTCATCATAGCCAGCTGCTGGTTTTGAATCCGCCGTGAACTTTAGACGCACCCGCCGTGTCGATTGCATAAAGATATATTCAGAGCTTCGCGCCCCTGGGCCTTCATTTGTGCCATTCGTTAGACAGTATTTACTCTGGCCATCATTTCTTTTGCTCGCACTTTAATTTACAATTTACGTTGTTTTTCGCACCAACCACACTTGTTTTTTTCCGGGTCACTCATGTTTTTTTCCAGGTCAGAAGTGTTTTTTCCGGGTCACACATGTTTTTTCCGGGTCATGCATGTTTTTCCCCGGGTCATACATGTTTTTTTCCCGGGTCACAATAATATCACTATAGACTGTGTGACCCCACAGCTGCTCCCGTTTAGCTCTGGTTTATAGCAGAATCTAATAATTGACGCACGAAATCTCTTCGAAACCGCACGAAACACACGCTCCCCCGCCTGCCCCTGTTTCCGTTTCGCTCCCGTCCGTGTCGCTACTGTTGTCGCAGTGCCTATTTCATCTTGTTGTTTTGTTGTACTTTTTTCCCTTGCCCCTGCTTCATATGCCTGCTAAGTGTGTGTATTGTATTCGGTTCTATTCATTGGCGCTTTTCCACCTTGGTGTTGTTTCTGCCTGTCCCCTTTTTTTGCCTTTGACTCATTCGTGTTTGGGTTTTCTTAGTGCTCTGGGCGAATCCCACTTGCATAAATGTACGTGATTTCTGGCGCTGAATACAAAACTCTTTCAGCTCGTACGCGCGCACCTTGCCACTGTTTCATTTCGTGAGGGTGCAGTGGTATGCGTGTGCCATGGCGCGTGTGTGTGTGCATGCGCGCGCGTGTGTCCATGTGCATGAGTACGTGCGTGTAACTGTAACGCCGTCGGTCCTTTCAGGACCTGCCATCATCTGTGGATGGGCAATTTTTGTTTTTGCAGTGTTTGTACAAGTACATGTATGTCCATGTGCATCCCTGCATACATGTACACTTGTTTGTGTATGCATGCAGCATGGTAGGTGCAGGCCGTGTGCGATATCCAGCAGAATCTTGTATTTGACAAGCACAGTCTTTACAAGTAACAGACAAAAGAGAAAGTAGGAGAGGATCATTAAAAAAAAAATTAAAAATTTGGTGTGCAGTATCACCATGATGTATGTAATCAAGCACGCTCAGGAGGTCATGATGGCTGAATCTTGCCCGAGCCTGCAGCCCAAGGGCCGTAGGCCCGAGGGCTGCAGGCAAGGGCAAGATTCAGCCATCATGACAGACAGAGCGTGCTTGATTTGATTTCTTACATCGCGAAGCAACATATTAGGGAAGGTCAAAGGTCGAAAGGTCGAAAAATTATTCCCGAAATGACGTCAAACGGTCCGAACATTCCCGAAATGACGTCAAACGGTCCGAACATTCCCGAAATGACGTCAAACGGTCCTGATTATGATTATGCCCGCGGCGGGAAGATCGCCTATTGGCCATGGCCCCGGCAACGATCACGTGTCATGTAAGAACACCTTTTCCTGCCTTCTGGTCTCTGGTCATCCGGAGTCTGGTGCATTTTTGATGTGCCATCCGTGACAGTGCTTACTCGTACTGCCCTTTTTTGTCAGCACAAACAACCGGAACCGCGCTCGGCATGCAGGATCGGTAGCGCTAGATCACGGTATGTGTACCGAGTACAAACTCTTGACTGTGCACGTGTACCTTGGTACAGTAGTCAGTACAGTACAATCATGTAGTAGATCTACGCTCAACTATTTCAAAATAAGGACGCGCCGCGCACGTGAAAAACAGGGTTCGCATGGAACTAATTTTGGAAGGTGCGATCGAACCGGTACTGCATGGTTTGCGGCATGCAAGGAGTGGTCTGAGCCAATGCAAAAGTAAGTTTGTCAGTTCACAGGTTCACGTCTTCGTTCTCTTTGTGGCAAGGAAGTGTTTCTTTCACCGTGTCGATTAGAACGTTCCCTGAATGGTTAGGTGTTGGATCCCATTCTAGCCCTGTGGGAAATAAGGGCTCTGAGCACAAACTTCCCGAGTCACCCTAGTCGAAACCCATTGCGGCAGTGAGCCTGGCGACGGTTTTAGGAAAGACGGACTCTGACGGCCCTCCTCAAATAATGTAAGTGCTTCTGAAAAAGCATTGTCCATGAAATGTTGTGCTTGGTGGCGATGGTATACGGTAAGCGGATGTGGGTGTTGAGACCATGGTACCACCCTGCTCTGGAGTCTTGCTCGCCAGACAACTCGCCCTCGTGGGTGCCATGGCCCATGTGCTGTTACGTTTGGCTGTCGTACCCAAACACACTTGTGTGTACGCAGAAACCGTATTGTGTCGGACAGTCCCCCCCTCGACCGGCGTCCACGCACTGCATTCCCTGGCTTGTTGTGGCTGAGCGCTGCTGTTGGGGCAGATTTCCAGCTGGTTTGCATTAGTTATTGTTTCACTGTGCAACCACATGAATGTGGTCAGGATATGGTTGGAAGAACACTGTCTTCACTGTCGAGTTTTCGGCTCGTCGAACACCACATGCACACCTCCGCTCAGCATGTTCGTGAAGTGATCCACGCAAACATCACACACTGTGCCATGCTAGAGTATTCTGCACTGCGTATCATGCCACATGTACGCACTCTCAGCGCCTGGTGCGTGTCTCGGATCGGGATTGCGATGAATACGGTCAGCGCCCATTGCATACCTGTCAGGCGCGCCCCAGCACCTGAGCCTCAGAGGGGTGGTGCGGCCCCAAGTCGGCCACAGGACCTAATATCTCCCCCTGTAATGTCCAATTTCAAAAAATCCTGGGAGGATACATCTATACTTTGTAGCTTTGTGCATCATAATTATTAGGGAGGTTTCGCTCTACGGAACTACGTATGAAAATAACGTAGGAACTGCACGGAATTTTCATACGTAAAAATCAGAGCTGTTGGGTTTCGCTCTACGTGATTTCTCCACGACTGCTAAGCATGCGTTGTTGCTTTGGAGACGCGTTGGCTGCATGCGCCTACCGCATGCACCATGAACCGAAACCGCATTCTCCATTTTATGTTGCACATGGTGTACAGTGTGTGTACCTTTTGTTTCGCGCGGCTTGAACGTTGCCATGGACAAATGCGAAAAATATTTCAAAAAGTCCTACGGAGGACCTAACGTAGGAAAGAACTTTCCTACGGAAATCCGTAGAGAGATTTACGTATGAAAGTTGCCCTCGCTCCCCGGCGCGTACGACATACGGATTTTCATACGTAATTACGTAGAGCGAAACCTCCCTATTATCTGTTTGTTTCAGCTACATATTCCTGTAGCAACAAATATGCAGCTAATGCAGTAGACCTCCAGACAAGAAGAACAGTTTAGAAGCGGGAGACTCTGAGAGAGGAGAGGAGTAGATGAGGATGCGCTTATTACACACTTCCAGATAATCAAGTGCACGCTGAGCAGCCCACGAGCAGCTGGAATTGGAAGAAAACTGGTCCGGCCTGATAGCCGCACCAGTGGCGCCGGTCTGGAGCTCTGCAATACACAATATACAGTACAGTCCATTTCAAAACTATAGACGCGTACCTAGGCAAAAACCGTCATGCCAGCATCTATACCACATAAAATCTGTGATCACTTTGTGCATAATTTTTCCAAATTTGGCGTCTGTTATCCAATCGTTTAGAAACTATTATGAGAGTAATTGTGGAGCGGACCTGAGCAATATTCCGAAAACTATTCTCAAAAAGTTCCAGCCAAATTTGAAATAATACTTCAAAAACACTGCGCGTCTATAGTTTTGAAATGGACTGTAGGCCCAGTGCATTGACGCGCTATGGTTGGCTTGGCGCAGCTTGCACGAGCCATCATACAGTGCTGGCAACTGAAATCTGACCCCCTGAGCGGTGCGCTCACATCGCAAAGACCCAACACGGGATTGTGACACTACGAAACAGAGACCGCTAGAATGCGAACGCACCGCACCGCTCAAGGGGTCGGATTTCAGCTGCCAGTGCTGTAGATGTGGCACTCACACACAAAAGTTCACAAGCAACAAACGTATACCATGTAGAGTACAGCGAGAGCGCCACACCATCTCGTCCTTCTGTGGTCGTGTTGCGGAGGCGGTGTCCTGTCCGTATGAGTAGGGCGTACGAAACGTACCTTGTACACGCATGGTACGTTGTGCAGTGAGCCTAGCAGTGAGTTAATTCATATCGGCTTCGGTCCGAGATTGTAAAGTTGGCATTGTGGACAGAAAGTTACACGACTGGACCATGGACCTTATGCCATTTGTACAGATCCACGAAATCCCGTAGAATCCCATAGACCCGGTTGGGTGTTCATTGTGTGCTATGCATGCGCATTTGACCAATTTTAGCCTCATAATTTAATGGCAAGCAATCGCTTTTCCAGCTTCTTCACTTTGGTTAGAACTAATGACTAGCTAGATCTTTGTCAGAAGAAAAGGTTTTCGTATGAACTGTCTTCAGGGCCCATTTCTTAGGCCACACCGTTTTTTTATCTATGTTCCGCGTCCCCCGCGCGCGCGCATGTATTTCACAGCCGGAGTTTAAAAAAAACTTAAAAAACGGAACAATTTTTTTTGAAAAATGCAATACAAATTTAATGCAAACCCAGAAAGCCGGAAAATGTAACCCGAAAGGAAAAAAACGGAACAAGATTGTTACACGTAACTATTATGTTGGCATCAATTAAATATTAATTTTGTTCTATTTATCGCATGATTGTACTCAGCTCACACACATGTACATGTACATGTGTGTGTAATAAGCTGGGCCGCAAGTCACACAATCATCATGCATGTGTTTGGACCACAAGCATGGCAGAGGGGATACACTCATGTATTCATGTACATGTACATGTCAATGTACATGAACAGTGCCGCGTCGCTTCTACATTGTATTCACTGTACACAAATGCAATGCACGTACACTGTTTTTTTTTGGATGGCTTTTTTATTTTTTCGCCCTCCCTCATTGATTTCATCGAACAAGGTGACGCGAAACATAGAAAAAAAACAGCGTGGCCTTAGTGGAAATAGCAGAAAACAGAATAGGGTCCTGTACATTCAACACACAACCGGGTCTACGGGATTCTACGGGATTTCGTGGATCTATACAACTGGCATAAGGGACCATCGCAAAAGTTCGCAGAAGCCCCTGAAACGAAGAGCATACGTTTGGGGGGGGGGGGGAGGGAGTCGGTGTCGAAAATCGCAAACCGGGCTTCAATTCAAAAAAGTATTGACGACATGTAGGAGCTGATATAGATTAGCATGCTCAAAGGATACAACTGAATAGCTCTAGCTGTTCTCGTTCTTAGATCACCCACTGCAAGGTGATATCATCGTTGCATTTATAAAGTGCTGTACATTGTTACACACTGATACAACAATGCTTGTGTAGTATATTATAATAATTATTATGTGTGAGCATCCAAGTGAAATAATGAAGCCCATATTGTGACTGTTGTTTCGTTTGAGGGGGGAGGGAGGGGGGTCAGGCCCGAAACTAACGGTCTTCGTTTCGGGGGCTTCTGCGAACTTTTGCGATGGTCCCTTAGGCTTATTGCCGATCGCACATAGAAAATTTCATGGAAATACCTTGTCCAATACCGGAGTTAGGGCGCGTTCAGACTACCGATAAAAAGTGACAGAATGGGAAAGTCGCCAAGGTGATTTGATCACGTGACGTTACTGGCACGTTACCGGTGGAAAAGTTTTACTGCCACGGCTGCTGCGGCAGTAAACTTTTACCGGCAGTAAAACAAAGTGCTCAGGCTGCATGCGCGCTGGGAAAAAAGGGAAAATCCCTTGTCAGTGCCGCGGTGAGAGCTGAAAACTTCACGGTAACGTTAGTTTGTTATCGGTACTGGGGGCGTCGGTAGTGTGAATGTCCTTCACGGTTTATCGGCATTCACGGTTTGACGGTATTCACGGTAGTCTGAACGCGCCCTTATGAGGCAAACGTTGGTATGCAATCGTCGGAAACCATGCATGGAGCAATACAGTACGCAGAGCGAGGCATACCGGTAAAAAGCGAGACTCGCCAACCGCATGAATATCATGACGCGCAGCGATTGGATGCGTGACATGTGGCATTTGGGTTTTGTCGGCGAGTGGTGGAGAGACCGCCGTGGGTGTATTCTGCTTCGATGGATTGAAATAATCAGCTCCTGCTCAAGCACATGCAGGATTTCGACATAAAGAGCAGTAGCGGCCCTGGATTTACAAGCCAAAAGTCTACACCCTCCGTCATGCCGAGGCCGTCTCATGGTGCACTGCCAACGTCAGCCTCTGGGCACTATCTTTTCAAACGGCTACGGAGAAGAACCTTACCGTGAACCCATCTAAACATACTGTAAAAGCCCGTGTATGAGCCCTGGGCGTATATGATAGCAGCCTCGATTTCCTGGGTGTCTACAAGGGCACGGGCGTTATTTTGGAACCGGGCGTATACTTGGAATAGGGATAGTAGTAAGTATTGGGTATCAGTACCTGTACATGTACTGGTGTTTCCGGTATACCTGGGCGTATACTTGGGCATGGGCGCTATTTTGAAACAAAAGTGTTGACTTCCCCTGACTGGGCGTGTACATGGAGGGTGGGCGTATTTTCGAGTGGGCGTATACAGGGGCTTTTACGGTATTCGAGTGCTACGAACATGATGGTGTGTGTGTGTGTGTGCCAGCGTGCAAGTGTGTGTGTGTGTGTGCCAGCGTGCAAGTGTGTGTGTGTGTGTGTACATACATGCGTGCATGCGCATATGTGTGTGCGCGCATGTGCGCTTGTATGCTCTTGGTATAGAGGTATGAATGCCCAAGTAAAGGCACAAACTGATTGTCCTGTTGTTCTCTCTCTCTCTCTCTCCTCTCTCTCTCTCTCTCTCTCTCTCTCTCTCTCTCTCTCTCTCTCTCTCTCTCTCTCTCTCTCTCTCTCTCTCTCTCCCTCTCTCTCCTCTCTCTCCTCTCTCTCTCTCTCTCTCTCTCTCTCTCTCTCTCTCTCTCTCTCTCTCTCTCTCTCTCTCTCTCTCTCTCTCTCTCTCTCTCTCTCTCTCTCTCCCCCCTGTGCACTCTGCAGCACTGTTGCATCCTCCGCAGCGCTGCTGTTACTACTCGGAGCATCACTCATCTCCTTAGTGTCCTGGCCAGTGGTGGACACGACCCAACACAGCGGTGATTGGTTCCACGGTTGCCAAGGACACCAGGCAACATGGTTGACCAGTTCTCGTCGCTCGACATCTACATTGTGTGTGTGTTCGTTAGTGGGCCGCTGGCGGCTATCATTCTCTCGTTCATCGTTTCCTTCTTCTTAATACGCTGTTCAAGCAAACGCCACGCCGAGGCTCTGACATTTGAAAACCCGGTCAAGAATCGCACTAAAGGTATATCCTCTACTGCCTGCATTGAAAGTTATCGTATTTTCCGGAGTTACGGAGTGTATTAAAGCCACCCTTTAAACACTAGCAATTCACCCAAAAGAAGTCAGTGCGGCTTATACAGCGATGGCCAAATTTACGGTGATAAACTGGGAAGATGTCTGTATTTTGTGGCAAAAAAATCTGGGCGTGGCTTACTGTGGAACGGGTAATTTTAGCGACGTAAAAACCCTAGCGAATTTAGCGATCGACTCAGTTTCGCTAAAGTTTCAAGTCGCTAATCCGTTGAGACACTAGTAGTGCACTGGTGATCCGTGAGTAAAATCGGTGCAAATCGCTAAAATAAAACGTCGCCAACCGGTTGACAATGGGGAAACGCTAAAATTAATAGTCGCTAAAATTACCCGTTCTACAGTATACTCCAGTTCGGCTTTTACTCCGGAGAAAACGGTGATTGTACGCCAAGTGGTGTGGGAACACTGTGTATTTTTATTCCCGTAGCTATGCAAAAGACGTTACTTTAGTAACGTCTGGCGCTAGCCAGGGTCCACACAGCTTTAATTCCGTGTTTGTTTGTTTGTGCCATCGGCATGCCTGGCGCTATCCCGTACCTGTCCCGTACCATCAAGGACAGCATCGGCATGCCTGGCGCTATCCCGTACCTGTCCCGTACCATCAAGGACAGCATCGGCATGCCCGGCGCTATCCCGTACCTGTCCCGTTCCGTACCATCAAAACAGCTGGCCACGATAATCAAAGACAGCTGGCCACAATATTCGAATAGGGCTTTCAAATGCAAATCATGACGTGAAGCAACTTGGAAAAATGAGTATGTATGTGGAGTGTACCGGGGAATGCGTGCAGGGCGATAGTGCGGGTTCGAATCCCAGGTTATGTCTTAAAATAGGAATAGGAGAAATGAAAAAATTATAATATCCCTATCCTTTTTTTGCCTAGGTCATCAAGGTGGTAGACGGTGTCATATTTGTTACCCTCGAATGAGAAAGTTGAATCTCGCTAGGGAAAAAAGCATACTAGAGCTGAAAATGGAGTCAGGGAATAATTCCGTAGAAAGGCGTTTTGTCTGGTTGAGATTTTCACGCATTGATGTTGAAGCATACTGAAAGGCCAGCAAAAATTGGATACAGTCAGACCCCGCTTATCCGGTCCTCTTTTATCCGGATCCCTCGCCATCCGGACGACAATCGTTGGTTACCGATTTACAGCATATGTCACGCATACAGTATGTGTGTTTGATTATCTGGTTCCCTCGCCTATCCGGATATTTTTTTGTGGAAAACGGATGTGTGCGGTTATGCGAGGTCTGACTGGAGCAGTCCCGTGCTCATGAATTAGAATCAATCATCATTGTCAATGTACATGTAGCTTAGTGTGTTGTTGGGCGCTGGAGAACGATATGAAAATAGGGGTCCCCTGGGCTCTTGCCGCTGTTGCACTGGGTCAAACGGTTGCAAATGTGTGTTTGTTTGTGTGTGTGTGTGTGTGCGGCGTGCTCTCTCCACGAGCAGACCAGAACATCCTGGACACGGACGTGAGCTTCACCAGCTCGCAGCCGAAATCTCAACAACGCAGAGCTCAACCGCCGATACCGGACTCTGCCTCCTACCCGTCCTCATCGGCACAGCAGCAGCGTCCCGGATCCAATGCACCGCCGCCTCTACCGGCCGGGCCCCTGCAGCCGAACCGCTACCCGGACTTCAACAACCAGGCTGGCTCGCACAACACGATGCTACACGTGAACGCGAATGCACCTCCGCTGCCCAACACCCCACCGCCGGGCAAGATGTCGCCGCGGCACTCGTCTTCGTCCGCCTGGGACACGCACAGCACCACCACCCACGTGCCACCGTTGCCCGGTGGTCCCCACGACTTCGGCGGCGACACATACGACATGGCGGAGATGAACGCACACCGCCAGCAGCGCCAATTCGAGCACGAGCACCAGCAGCAGCAGCAGCATCACCATGGTAACGTTGCCGATATATACGACATGGCCGAGCGTCAGGAGATGGCCGAGGCCGACAATTACGACATGACCGGCTGATCCTGCCCTCGTAATTATTGTGCTCGTTTATTGTGCTGCATGTGTCTGATTGGTGCTTGCTCATCCGGCTGTGGTGATGATCTGAGTGTTCGCCTTTGTTGGCGTAGGTAGGGTATCTAGCAACTCTGTGTGCGTGCGTGTGTGTGTGTGTCGCACACTGTTATCTGTCCACTTGTTCGCCGTTCCTCGACACACACATACACGCACATACGCGCGTGCACACACACATACACCCACACACACACTCTCTTTTTTTCTATCTTTCTCTGGTTTATCTTAGAGCCACTAAACAACTGCATTTGGGGTGTATGTTATGTGTGCATATCCAAAACACTGAGATATTGATATTTATTTTCTGAGGACCCTGCACTTTAACTAGATAGTACGTACCGCGTCTGTTTACGTTGTTTTGTTCAAATTCTTTGGCCTTCATATTTTCGCGTGCGTTCATTATTGACGCTTCTGTGGTCGATGTTGGCGACGTCGCTTGGTGCTGTATTTCCCGACGGGAATCGTTTAGAGGGTCGCGAATCGCCGAGAGCCGTGGCTCACTCGTGTGATATTAGTCCTGAAGTATATAGTTATGACCAATTGTGTCTAGCTCTAGGTTTAGCTCAGTTAGCGGCAAATCGATTTTGACATTTCTTCCCTTTATGTGTGTGTTTATCGATTGTGTATTTCATGTACTGTCCTATTTTGTGTATTTGTGTACTACTTCAAGTAGATCTACCAATCGCTCTGTGCTCGTGTGTGTGTATGTATGTGTGTGTGTGTGTGTGTGTGCATGGGTGAGTGTGTGTGTGTGTGTGTGTGTGTGTGTGCGTGTGTGTGTGCGCTGAGTGTTCCGTCGAAGCTGAGACCTGAAGCACCACCGGAGTCCAGTCCTTCCGTTGTGGATTGGAGAAGTAGCAATGTGCTACCATTGCCACGCAATGAACACACAGAGAGAGAGAGAGAGTGAGAGAGAGAGAGAGTGTGTGTGTGTGTGTGAGAGAGTGTGTGTGTGTGTGTGTCTGAGTGTGTGTGTGCGTATGTGAGAGAGAGAGAGAGAGAGAGAGAGAGAGAGAGAGAGAGAGAGAAAGTGTGTGTGTGTGGGGGGGGGGGGGTGCGTGCGTGTGTGTGGTAGTGTGTGTGTGTGTGTGTGTGTGTGTGTGTGTGTGTGTGTGTGAGAGAGACAGAGAAACAGAGACAGATGCAGAGAGAGAGAGGGAGGGAGAGAGAAAGAGAGAGAGAGGCGTGTATTATGTGTGTCTTACTCTTATCACGTGTGTGTGATTATATTGCTGTGTCGGTGACATGAAGTGGATTCTGGGTGCATCAGGGCTTCTCCCCAGCCTTGCCTTGGCTGAGCGTGTCACTGTGCGCGCGCGTGTATGTGTGTGTGGTGTGTGTGTGTGTGTGTGTGTGTGTGTGTGTGTGTGTGTGGGTGTGGATCATAGCTGCCAAAGGTTGCTCTCATTTCTCTCGTCGTGCCGATTGAACATGGTCCCTGATCTCTCGGCAGACTGCCGACTTTCTGCCGTCGCAGGTCGCTTCCAAGTTGTCGGGCACGCAAGGGGACACGTGACCGTAATGGCAGTGTTTACGAGGACCAGGAACAGGAACATGGTTTGTGTGTGTGTGTCGGTTGCATGCATGGATGCAACGGGTTGGCATTTCATTTCATTTTTTTGTGTTTCCTTGTGACACGGAACAAAAAAAATCATGGTACTCGTATGCTCGTGAGAAATGTCGGAATCCTCCATTACAAGCAAGTAAGAGCAGCCCCCCCCCCCCCCCCCCCATGTTTGTGGACTCAGTCTTGCAACAAGTAATAGTACTGTACTACTAGTAGTACATGATTGGCTTCTGTTCACTGATGTAATACGTCTTATTTATTTGACAATGATACGCTAATACAGTCAGTGTAGATTCCACTACCCGCACCTACACTGCAGTGCTACTACTAAACGTTCTGGGTAGAGTCTGGTCTTCTGGACTCGGTCTGAGACCGCCAGGTGCAGGCGATCTGCCACTGCCACGTAAACAACTATGGTCAGAAGTCAAGATAAGATCTAGATCTAGATAGACTCAATCTCCGCCAGGGACTGGTAGACTCTACCTGGCCATACCCGTCAGTAGTAGAACTAAAGACTAAAATACAGCACGCTCATCTAGATATCTGTGCTGTCACCCTCATGTCTGTCATGACACTGCCATTCTCCTACTACTAATACTAGTCCTAGACTACGTCGAGCTAGACTGTTGAATGTTGTAGATCTACCTTGATCTACACTACATGTACACTACTACTACATGTATCAAGAGTTCATAACTCTTGCTACTGTCGGACTGAGTCTGTCAGTGACCATACACTCGAACTGATCGTCGTGGCAGTCTACATAGCAATAAAAACTGCTTTATGGCAGTTTTCTAAAAAAAGTTATTGTGTTCTAGTCCATGGACGTGGACCCCGTCTAAAAAGTAAGAAATTAACGAAATGTGATAGCCGAAAATTAAAATTTCACACAAAACCTCACAATAATCACAACACTTGAAATGCTGCTTTCAACACTAAACTTGTACTGCACCAACAATTGGCAACATGCATGTCATGCATGCATAGGAAAGAGGATCACGAGGGGAAAAGGTCTTCTACATGTAGCTTTTCATTCTGTGTGTGATTATTGTGAGGTTTTGTGTGAAATTTTAATTTTCGGCTATCACATTTCGTTAATTTCTTACTTTTTAGACGGGGTCCACGTCCATGGACTAGAACACAATAACTTTTTTTAGAAAACTGCCATAAAGCAGTTTTTATTGCTATAATTTCTTTTGTTTTTTTCTGTCACCAATCAATGGAATGCCCTACAGTAGAGTCGCGCGCCGAAGAAGTTAGAACGTGGAGCCCAAGAACGTCCAGCTTGAAATTCTAAGAATGTCTCAGCCTAAATCTAAGAACGGCGGTGTTGGTTTTCTGGCGGCTTATGGGATACATATCATCCAGGACGAATTGTTTCTAAGATTGCTGACAAAATAAGAACGTCCCAGTCTAACCCCTTGGAAACAACGTTCTTGGGCGCGCGACTATATCAATATGTAAATGATGGTCTTCACATCATATCAATACCGTATTATCCGCATTGATGTGCAAGCCTTTTCTTGCAGAAAATGGCACTAGCATCTTCTTCTGCGGGGAAACATGTGAGTAGTGGTGGACCGTGGTGATTTATACGGAGGTCATTCTGTGCATATTGCTGTAGCAGAATTTCATGACTCTGTCATAAAATTGTCTTGCCTTTCAGATATTTCAGATTTCCCCACCCTCGATCATATTTAATTGAGAAATGTAACCAGGTGCGTGTCGCAGATGTTTTTGTTGATTCTGTGTTTATAATGGTTTATAATCATGGGTTTTCGTGATAAGGTCATCCTGCATCATATTGCACTGAAATCCTGTTGATGTCGATACAACTTTTGGAAGTAGTTCAATGACTTCAAACTGTTAGTCCACGATTTTCTAAAACAACAAAGCAAAGGAGGAACAATAAACATGTATTAAAATGCAAGTAAACAAATACATTGCTGAGTCGGACACCTCGTTCCAACAACTACACTGATCCTGAGGATAAAAGGGGCAAGGCTATGGTTGGAGGTACTGAGAGATAAACAAGGCACTCCATAATAATAAAATCTTACACATCTTTTGGTGAGTATGAATGATATCTAGTCGAACCTCTTTAGGACGAACACCAAGGGACCGATGGTATTTATTCTGTGAGTTTGTCTTAACCTATTTTATAACCAGTGAATACAATTATTTCTCCAACAGACATACGAATAGATTTCTTCTACAGCAAAAGATTCTAAGCCACACCAACTCATTGACTCGTCTCGTATGAAACAAATGAGTCACTAGAGAGGTTCTGCAAAACGAAAATGCGTACAAACTTTCGCTCTACATCATGAAGTGCGGAACTTCGCACGAACTTTCGCAACTTTGGACGCGAAACTTGCAGGGGACGCGAAATGAACTGTCGTAGGAAATTTCGTGAGATCGGGTCATGACGTACGTGCACTTGGCCCGCGAAAACTACGAAAATGTGCAGAACGCAAAGTTCGTGCAAAAATTCGTACACACTTTCGCAAGGACTGTCGCGAAACTTCGTTCGAATTTTCGTTTTGCAGAACCGCTCTACTGAACCTTTCTTTAGCAACATGACGGCAACTGAAACAGCAACAGAGAAAGTACGATACATGTACAGCACATTCTTGCAGGTACTACAAACAGATTGCAGATCGTAATTCTGGCTTTGGCTGCACGAAACTTTATATGGGGCAGTGCAATCTCGGCGGTACTCACAAATAATAAATCAAACAGCCCAGACTCGAGTAAACAAATCCAATCATACAAGTACTAGATCTTCACGAGACGAGACTGCACCCATTGGCTTGTTTCGTATGAAGCAAACAAGTTTACTGAACCTCTCCACAATGGAGATTTTCCCTGATATGCGAATTTATTTTGCAAACTCGGTCAATGGGTCCTTGAACCTTTCCCTCCAGATTGGGAACTGCCACCGATAGTATGCCACTGACCAATGCCTTACTTGTAACGTACCAATGTACAATGAATATGAGTATTTCGACAACACATCTAACATTATGTCTTACCGTCAAGAAGGTGAACTCGCGTTCTTCGCACACTGTAGACAAGGGCAAAGAGATAAAATGGATCTAAATCCGAATAAAATCAGCACACGTTTCAGTAAATGAAAGGGTGAGCATAAGCAAATGAATCGAAGGAAACCGGTCAACTCAGAGATCACCTGTCATCGAGTATTCCGTAAAAGGAGGCCTCGGCAGCGGAAAAGCTAAATTTAGAAAAGAGATCCTGTTAGCTTTTCCATTATTTATTGCATTCCGCCCACAATCAGCACACTTTTCGTAAAAGAAAGAGTCAACACAAGCAAATGAATCAAAGGGAACTGGTCAACTCACCTGTCATTGAGGAATATTCCGCGAAAGGAGATCTCAGCAGCGCCGAAACGAAATAAGCCAGGCCAGGAGACGAAATATCCGAAACAGCTCATACAAGAAGCAGTTCCAAAGAAGGAAGTTCCTCGCGCATGGACATCCGAACACGGATCGCGGACTGCATGCACTGCAACACAATGTCTGCCGTGCACGTGCACAGCACGCGGCTACCACGCGTTGGTAGATCTAATACCGAGCACCTTACGTAGAGACTTACGTAGCCTAAGTGAAATACCGAGCACCTTACGTAGAAACTTACGTAGCATAGCGGTGTCGTTTTTCTTGCCATGTGAACACAATAATAGAAAAGCTGACAGGATCGCTTTTCTAAATTTACACCAGGGAGTAGTATTGTACTACTCCCTGATTTACACTATACAGCCAGTAATCATGTACAGCCAGTAATCTTGTAAGTAAGTAGTTGTAGTTATTATAAGTGATGGCGGCGGCACTGCAGTAACCAGGTACAGTGTAATGTGATTTGCAGTCTACAAAATAGTCTGAAAAGTAGTTTGTGTGTGACTGTGTCAGTCTGTGTCTCGACTCTGGCTTGCGCTTCTGCCAGTTCGGGTCCTTCTGGATTTGGATTTTTGGAACGCGCACGTGCACCATGGTGCACCGGTGCACCTGTATCTGCTATGATGTCATTCAATCAATATACTTTTGAGTGTGTGAGTCACCGCTAGCTAGCTCAGTAGCTGCTCAAGCCAAAGGCTCATCGATTAATTTTTATTCACCTGATACACTCACCCTCACTCAGTGATCAATCCTGGCCTGCTGCCTTGACAAGCAAGAAACAACACTCAACAGAGAAAGCAGTGAAGTGAAGCCTTCGAGAGAAATTTTGTGTTTTAGCATACGTATTCTGCATTGTGCTGACCAGGCTTTGCCCGTGTTGCCGGCCCCCTCAATCTCGAGGACCCCGACGGATTTCTACCTGAAGTGCTAGTAGATCTGATGGTTTTGGCGGAGCGACATTGATTTTATGTGTTCAGCAGGCAGCAGGGCCAAACCGAGTAGCAGTACCAACTGACTTTGTTTGTCTGATTTGGGCTGAACACTTTCAACTGTTGTCGAGCGCCGGCGCTTGAAGTTTACTTTCTTTCTTCTTGACGAACGCTCGCCTCTTCCATCCGACAGAATGGAGGGTATTGGTCCTGTGGAACAACTGCTGGTGAGCATTTGTAACTGTTTTGTTGATTTGAGAATGGTTGACTTGAATTTTTGTTTCGCCTCGAAATCGAACTAAAACAATTAGTGGCACTACTAGTATGTTGCTGTTGTGGCGGATTGTTACTCACTGTAACTCAGTGCTGCCTTTCACGTAACGTCGTTGCAGCTGTTAGTGAAAATCTCTCCTGTGCAAGTCTACGCATTTCCTTGTGATTGAAAAATGGTGTTGGGTGGCGTCAAGGGTACTCATTATGATGGCTCCGGTCCTACATGTAATAGCATTCTCATGTTGCAACTTTTTTTGTGGCGTTCATGTCGCCGGGACAGTGTGATCTAGTTTGAAAGTGGGTTGGCGTGTGCTCGACCGAGTCGGTATCTTTCCTGAGCGTCGGTACGCGGTGGCAAGCTTGATTTGTGCTGCGTGACACACTCTCCACTGACAGGGGAAAACAGCGTTGAAAACAGTCGATGCGCTGTGCTGTGCTGAGTCGCTCAGGACTGCTCTTACCAGAAATTAATGAGGTCCTAGTAGTAGTGTCAGGGGGGCAAGGTGTATCAGTGTGCGAGTCACTAGGCTTGCACACGACTGCATATACACGTACATAATTGTACAATCATGACTCATTCATGATACCAGCCAACCTTTGCAAACCTGAGGTCAGGACAATGAGCTACAGCCTACCTACAGTCCATTTGAAAACTATAGACGCGTAGGGTTTTTGAAATATTTCAAATTTGGCTGGAACTTTTTGAGAATAGTTTTCGGAATATTGCTCAGGACCGCTCCACAATTACTCTCATAATTATAGTTTCTAAACAATTGGATAACAGACGCCCAATTTGGAAAAAATTATGCACAAAGTGATCACAGATTTTATGTGGTATAGATGCTGGCATAACGGTTTTTGCCTAGGTACGCGTCTATAGTTTTGAAATGGACTGTAGTTAGGCTGCAACCACACTAGGTACAAAATCACGTACAAACGGCATTACAGTAGAAATCGTCATGCCGACGCGTGCGAAATGCAAAATGCGCTTTGTAGGTTTTCAGCAACTGGCGCACCCCTGTAGAAAGCCACGTTTGTCGTTTTCGTCGTTTTCGCGCTCCTTCTCCTGTGTACAACTTAAATTTTGTACCGGGTCATCGTACATAGCATCAGCACCAGCCTTGTTTTTGAATTTCCCGGTCTTTTCCAGCGCATGGCACACGCTTTGGTACGACAACGTCACGTGCTGGTCGCGTGAAAACGTCATCTATACAGACCGAAAAGTGTAGTGTGGTTGCGTACCGACTTGCACTGAGATATGCATGAAAATTTGTACTGTGATTTTTACGTAGTGTGGTTGCGGCCTTACATGACTGTATGTATGTATGTATGTATGTATGTATGTATGTATGTATGTATGTATGTGTGTGTGTGTGTGTGTGTGTGTGTGTGTGTGTGTGTGTGTGTGTGTGTGTGTGTGTGTGTGTGTGTGTGTGTATGTATGTATGTATGTATGTATGTATGTATGTATGTATGTATGTATGTTTGTATGTATGTATGTATGTATGTATGTATGTATGTATGTGTGTGTGTGTGTGTGTGTGTGTGTGTGTATGTATGTATGTATGTATGTATGTGTGTGTGTGTGTATGTATGTATGTATGTATGTATGTATGTATGTATGTGTGTGTGTGTGTGTGTGTGTGTATGTATGTATGTATGTATGTATGTATGTATACATGTAAATGGTACATGCATGTACCGGAGGGTGTACCCAGTGTGCTGACAGTGCTCAACACCATGGCGGAGGCAGAGCGTAATACAGAACAGAACAACAAGGACAATCAAGGCTTGTTTGCTGCGACTTGAAGTTTCATGCTCTCGAAATCATCTGTCGCCTGATGATTGCGAGAGCATGAAACTTCAAGTCGCCGCAAACACGCCTTGATTGTCCTTGTTGTTCTGTTCTGGTACATGTATGCATGTATGTATGAATATTAGGGGTGAAACGAAGGTCTCAAATTCCCATTCGAACCTTCTTTATTAAAACGAACGAAGGTGTCGAAGGATTCTTTTTTAACATGATCACGGAAATGCTCAAAAATCTTAAAAATAAAAGGGGGCAAAAATCAGAACCCAATACTTACATTGTATGTGCAATTTGTTTCTGAATCTGGTGGTGTGCTGGTATCAATGTATCCATTCCAGGTAAGAAAATACTTTGGCCCAGGTCACAACTATAGATAGAGGCAAGGTTTTAACATACTCTTGATAGAGGCCATACCAAATACCTGTTTGTGAGTCAATTGTCCATATTTCTGACAATTTAGATCAGTGTACTTGGGATCGTGTACAGATTTGCTAGCCTTGGCCTTTTTGACACAAAGCGACAAGAGATCACTGCTCTAGTGTACAGCTAGTTGCGTGCTTGAACAATACCAAAATGGACGGAAAAGAGCCATAATAGTAAATATCAGATGCCCAACTTCATCAAAAAATTGTCAAATCTGGACATGTAATTTTCGCCTACTAGTATCTGCTCGAATCGAGCGGGTGTATTGGTGATTGAGAGGAGAGTGAATAGTCACTGGGTGAGGAACTTCACCTGCCTCGATGATTTCAGGCCACCGCTGCGCTCCCTCTCCCTGCTGCTGGGAGAGTGAATACTGCAATGGCTTCAGCGATGGAAACTTTTATTTTCGATTCAAATTATGAGACTACACTCGTATCGCTGCTACAACGTTCTCCAGACACCATCACTAGTCACTTGAACTGTCACACTAGCAGATATCGACGGCAGCTACAGCAAGCTATATTCCTGGTACAAGCAGCATAACTGAGCGAAAACACGATCGAAATCGCAAAACTACTCTCCTACTAGTATCGCAGAGCGCCAAACACTCAACGAATACAATCAAAAAAGTCATCCATGAGTACACCATAGTACATGGTAGATCTACACACCAACGCAAAACGGGAACACGCTGGTGACTGGAACAGAGCCAGTTCTTCACTTGACTTGTCACTTCTTCAGTTCCGGTGCGCACGCGGACCGTGCCCCTACTTGTAGTTCAGCATGTACAGTGCTAGTGCATGCAGCATATCGCACAAGATCAATGCATTGATGCATGCACTAAACCCGTGTCGACCGTGTCGACCTTCGTTCGAATCAAAAACGAAGATTCGTTTCAAAGGAAAACGAAGGTCCTTCGAACCTTTGACTACTTCGTTTCACCCCTAATGAATATGTATATAATGTAGCCACGAGGCATGCGATAAGTGCAGTGTTGGGTGCCTGATACCACCCTGCAAAGAAACACAGCATCGGCAGCGTATCGCACGCTACCAGTGCAGGCGACGCATCGCAAAACACGGCCCGCACCCGTTAGTTTCGTATCGAGGCTTGGGACGAGCTGGCGGGCGGATCGGCGGTAGATCTTGCCCCGTAAGCGGACCCTGCCTGCATTGGTGGCAACTGAAATCCGAGGCGCGCTCGCAGTGCAAAGACCCAGCACGCGCGTGTACGTACCACTACGAAATAGAGGCCGCTAGAGATCGGTGCTGCACTCGCGCACGAACATCAGGAGGTTGGATTTCAGTTGCCATCGCTGTACTTCATATATTCCACGGCCATCCGGGCCGCGGGATACTGTGAAGTCATGTATAAAAGCTGCGGCTTATATGACTTTTTGGGGGGAAATGTTGCAGGCTTCTATACAAGACAGGTAATTCTATGTATGTCAACACTAAACCAGGCTCATGTGCCGACAGCGTACCTCGAAAATATCGCTTCTATTCAAAAACAGGCTTCTATGTGAGACGGGCTTTTAAGTTTCAGTACAAGGTACTGCGGTATGTCACAAACTCTGCCCGTGGGCCACTTGGTTCACAGCGTGTCAGGCTCCAGGCAACAGAGACCGACCGTGTCTCTAATTCCTGCATTCTTCTATGCCTGGCGCTACTCCCTGCGAACGCTTGGAGAAAGCAGACTGCAACTGAACAAGGTGCAATGATTTGAAAAAAACCTAACGGGCGGGAGATGTATTGCAACAACAATAGACACCCACGGGACGAAACTAACGAGTTGTTCATGACCTAGCAAACAACCTTTGATGGTGTGAAGTTCATTTGATTCTGTTTGCAGAGGCTAGGCTGCTTAGTGTGAACATCAACAGCCTGTAAACCCTTTTGAATACTTTCTTCGCAGTTAGGAAAGTTGTTTTCTCCCAACGCTGCAACTCTCGCCTTTCCTGCCAACTTGACTTGACACTCGAGTCCAGTGTGGGGAGCCACCAGAATTCTTATAAAATTATCGCCCAAGTCGCTACCACTATTTCGTACATTTCTTCGCACTTGCACCTTTTTGCCATGCCTGCTACGTATACTGAAACGAAGTGTGAGGGTATGCATCTTGCGTCGTTGTTACTGAGTACTTTTCTTTCCGCGCTGTTGTCCTGGTGTTGGCGCTTACGCTCATCGCAAGGGCTGCGAGTCCACTGCCTCAGCTATTCCACGCATAGCAAAAGAGAGCTATTCAGAATCTCTAGCCAATCAGTGTTCTACAGCCTTCACCGGATGAGATCTGCGCTGCACGACCGTACTTGTACGAAAGAGAGATCTTCAGAATCTCTAGCCATTCAGTGTTGCACAATCTGAAAAAAAATTGTGTGTAGCCAAGGACTTGGTGCGGCTGCGGGCAGTAGAAATTCAAATTAAGATAAATAATTGTGGAAGTAAGATAAGACGTTATTGGTGATTATTGCTGTTGATTTGTCGTATTAATTTCGCCATTACCTTGCCTTTTCTGGCTTTTGTATTTTTGGTCAGATGGAGGCGGATGGTCTTGAAGAGGAAGATGCCATTCGTTTGTTGACTGCCTTCAATTTTGACTGCACGGTAATTGCATTGTCGCGGTTGATGATGGTGCTGTGTGCGTGTGTGTGTGTGTGTGTGTGTGTGTGTGTGTGTGTGTGTGTGTGTGTGTGCTTGCTTGCGTGCGTGCGTGTATGCACCTGTCCGTGCGGTCGTGCATGCATGTGGCCGTCATCACGACATCATAATCAGTGTCGCGATGACATCGCGGCCGGTGTGCGTGGACTATGAATATGTCATGCTGTAATCCCGATGACGTAATACACTGACAAAATGCCGCCACCATCATTGCCAGTTCCTGTGTGTATATCCCTCTCAGAGGCGTCGGAAGGTATTTTAGTGTGGTACGGTCAGCCATATGAAGTACAATTTACTGGTGGGGAGAGATGGCTGAGCTGAAAATTTTGGAAATTCAGATTCGAAATCAGTGCATTTTATTGATTCACGGGGTTCTTGGGGCAAATAGTGGTACGGTCAATACCGTAGTGACCGTACCGTGTGCGACGCTCCTGCCATGTTGATTCACGGAGTACCTGGGGCAAATAGTGGTACGGTCAATACCGTAGTGACCGTACCGTGTTTGACACCCCTGCGGCACTTGCTGTGTGTGTGTGTCCTGGCACAGGGCGCGCTGGCGTTCATCCGGCCCGTGGAGCGGGACGTCACCTCGTCGAGTGCGGTGACGGACGACGCCATCGTGCAGGACTGGCAGCTGCTGGACATCACGTGCAAGGACAAGATCAGCCGCGTGGCAGTGCCCTACACATACACAGCCGGTGAGGAGCGGAACCAGCGTGTGTGTGTGTGTGTGTGTGTGTGTGTGTGTCGGGGAGACCCACGTGACCAGTTTTGGCAGTGAGCAACAAGTACAAGTGTGTGTGTGTGTGCGCCGTGTACTAACCCCTAATCGCACTTGCTCGCCCCCCTTAGTTATGTACTCTTGATACCGCCTGTGTACGTATGCATGGCGTGTTTGAGAGCTGGAGCTGGAACGGGGCAGCCCTGTGCGAGTACTGTTAAGCCATAAACTTTCACGGCGCGCAAAGTTTGCGTTTTCATGAATTGGGCTGGTTCACGATGAGAAACTTTGGCGATTTTATCTCTTCAGTTGGATCTGTTTCTGTCTGCAATGAATGTACAGAGCAGTTTGCGGCGATTTATATTCACGGATGTGTGATGGTCGCGAAAATAGCGAAATTTAATCTCAAGAGAAAGTTTCTCACTTTACAGTATGTGTCCAATCACAGTGTACACAAGCTAACGACATGCATGGGTCGTTTTCCACCTGTGACATCACACAGAATAGGTCGTTGCATTGCATTGCAGATTTCTGGATGTTCTTGGGGACAATCTGACCTGATTTTTTTTTTGTGATTCATGTGTGTGTGTGTATGTGCATGCGCATGTGTGTGTGTGTGTGCGTGTGTGTGTGTGTGTGTGTGTGTGTGTGTGTGCGTGTGTGCGTGTGTGTGTGTACATGTGTGTGTACATGGTGTGCGTGCACGCGCGTGGGTGCGTATGTGCGTGCGTACGCATGTGCCTGTTCACGTGCAGGCCAGCTAAAACACCGCCTGCTGCACTGGTTTGGCGATAAGCTGTCGATAGTCAGCGGCAAAGTGGAGGAACTGAACGTGATTGGCCTGCCTCGCCGAAGTGCAGCCGGCATAGTGAGTACAGAAAGCGATAAACCTTTGCGGCGTGCACACTTTGCGTTCTCATGAATTGGGCTGGTTCACGATGAGAAACGTTTGCGATCGTATCTCTTCAGTTGGATCTTGCACTGTCTACAATCAATGTACAGAGCTGCTTGTGGCGATTTATATTCGCGAGTGTGTGATGGTCGCGAAAATAGCGAAATTTAATCTCTAGCGAAAGTCTCTCACTTTACAGTGCAGTAAGACATGTGTTTGACGAACCCTGTAACAAGCAGAATCCTGTATTGGCCGGACAAAATTTCATGTTTATAGAGTGCTGTGGATCAAAGTAAACCTGTGTTTGCTGGACCCTGTACTAAGCGGAATCCTGCATTGACCGGACAAGTTGTCACGCTCCAAAGTGCTGTGTATCGAATGTGCTTCCCTGGATCAAGCGGAATGCTGTCGTATCAGGGCGGTTTCCGCTGCACCAAGGGCGTCCGGTTACGTCAGGTTTTACTTTATCTGTGCCCACTGTGTCCCCATCCTGTCTGTGCAGAGATCTCGCCTCCGGCGAACGTCGAGCAGTTACTCGAGCTCGGAATGTGCGCAGGTTTTGATTGGTTTGAGCGCATTTTTCCGCTGTGGGTGTATGCGCGTGCGTTTGTGTGTGTGCGCGTGGATGTGTTTTTTATTTATTTTTTACTGAATACCACAGAACCATCATGGTGTGTGTGTGTGTGCGCGCGTGCTTGCGTATACGTGTTTGTTTGTTTGTGTGTGTGTCTCTACTCTCCAGGAGCCGCTCTGCCACCTTCAACTCACCTACCCCGTGCACCATCTGGAGGTGTCGAAGAAATCTTCGGCAGCGGCCGTTCGGTCATCATCACCATCGTCATCATCAGCAGCAACAGCAACGACAAACGCGTCCACCGGCACAGCCACCAACGCCACCGACTTCGCCAGAGCAGATGCCGTACTAGCTGGTGCAGGGAGCAGAAGTCGACTGGCAGGTGGCACCAGCACCGCAAGAATCCCTGCTCCGCTTGCCCTGGCATCAGGATACACGCCGCTCGCTACTAACGGGCTTGCGACGTCCGCAGCATTCACCTCCATGTCTGCGTACGCAACGGGTGTAGAAACGCCGCCGATGCCCCATGCAGCGGCGCGCATGTCTCCGCCGAAGGCTCGTCGTCGTCGGCAACCGGACATGCATCCAATCTCGATCGACGACTCGGACAACTCCGTGGACGACGACCTGGAGCCGCCCAGGCCGAAGGTGCGTGTCTCGACGGGGCGTGTGTGTGTGCGTGCGTGTGCGCGTGCTTGCGTGTGTGTGTGTGTGTGTGTGTGTGTGTGTCTCTCTCTCCTCTGTCTCTCTGGCTCTCTCTCTCTCTCTCTCTCTCTCTCTCTCTCTCTCTCTCTCTCTCTCTTTCTGTCTCTGTCTCTCTCTGTCTCTCTCTGTCTCTCTGTCTCTCTCTCTGTCTCTCTCTCTCTCTCTCTCTCTCTCTCTCTCTCTCTCTCTCTCTCTCTCTCTCTCTCTCTCTCTCTCTCTCTCTCTCTCTCTCTCTCTCTCTCTCTCTCTCTCTCTCTCCCTCTTGCGCACACACACACATACTTGTTGCTCACTGCCAAAACTGGTCACGTGGGTCTCCCGGGAGAGGGGAGAGAGACTCAAAAGGAATCTTGGAAAGATGACTCAATTGGCTATTGAACCGCCCGACGGCCGACACCCCCTGAAATCCCCAAAACTCTGGGTGGACTTGAAAATGATCCCACTTACGGGCTCACCACACCTCAGTAAGTGGGTGAGGACAAGGTGCAGAAAAAGGATTGACGGCATCAGGGTATCCGTCCCGGGATCCAACTGCAGTTACCCCTGCCCCCATTGAAGGTAATACGAGCTACTAGTGCGGGTGGCTAAATCAGAGTGGATCTGATACAAGCTTCACTATCACCATGATTACACAAGAGTTAATCTAGCCAGAAGTAGTCCATGGTTAACAGGTATGTATACTTCAAATAGAAAGTATATGAATCCTGGAACCAACAAAGGTGGTAGGTACAACATTACACCTTCAAGCAGCCGAGCCCCTTGGCAACAGACCCAACACAATCAGGCATAAGTGTACCCACCAACCGAACTAGCTGGCACACACACACACACACTCTCTCTCTCTTTCTCTCTCCTTTCTGTGCAGAAGGACCAAAGTAGGCGGAAAGCACCTATTGTGGTACCAAGTGACGAGGAAGACACGCCATCATTTGCCACCGCAGGCACCAGCACCAGCACAAGCACTACTGCTAATGGCGATAGACAACGGGCCGAGAATAACGGCGGTACGGACGACTTTAAGAACGGCGATCCCCAGAGCGACGCTGATTGGGAAGATGATGATGATGAGGAGTTTGAGGATGCGCTCGACTATTCTCCCGAGCTCGATATGGATATGGCCCTGGTTAATGCCCCTGCTTCCAAAGGATCCATGAGTGAGTCCCTGTTCTAGATTGCCGTAGGTTTCTGACGTGAATGTCCTTGCTTCCAAACGATTCATGCGTGAGTCCATATTCTAGAGTGCTGTGGGTTTCTGAGGTGAATGCCGCTGCTTCCAAACGATCCAGGCATGAGTCCATATTCTAGAGTGCTATGGATTTCTAAGGTGAATGTCCTTGCTTCCGTACGATCCATGCGCGAGTCCGTATTCTAGAATGCTGTGGGTTTCTGACGTGAATGTCCTTGCTTCCAAACGATCCATGCGTGAGTCCATATTCTAGAATGCTGTGGGTTTCTGACGTGAATGTCCTTGCTTCCAAACGATCCATGCATGAGTCCATCTAGAGTGCTGTGGGTTTCTGAGGGGAATTCCCCTGCTTCGAAAGTCTCCCTGAGTAAGTCCATGTTGTAGATTGCAGTGCTGTACTGCTGTGCTTGGCATGAGCACTTAAAACGGGGTATTATTGCCCTGCCCCAAAAAACGGGGTATTATTGCTGACTACTTCTGGGTCAGTGCGCGGCATGCTGCTGCCATCATGACATAACCTGTCTGCATCACGCCCTGCACTCATGCACTCAAACTCACAATCTCCCATGTCAGCGCCTCCGTGCTTGCTCGATTCGCTCCCGTACTCACCCAGTCTGCAAGAGATTTCGGTGCGTAAACTCCAGTTCCCCGGAAAGTTCGTTTCAAACGGCAGGGAGAGTGTGGTATTTGTATTTCCGCATTGCGCCGACTCGACCTGCATGATGAACCGTATTTTCCCGCGTATACGACGAGTAAGCCGCACTTTACCTTAAACAGCAGTAATTCACCCAAAACAAGTCGCTGCGGCTTATACTACAAATACACTATGGGTCCATCAGGTGATGTGAAGTTCTGCCGTCGTAGACCCCATAGCTGCGAGTTGCACACTCTTGAGGGTTATGTACTCTTAGTACTGTGGATCTTAGCATGTAGGGGGCTCAGCTGCTCAAACAGCGCTCTTTGTCTGGAGACAGAGATTTTTCGCACAGTAAGGAGAGAGGGAGTTGTGATGGTTTCATGTCTCTTCCCGATTATCGGGCAGTAGTTCTGGGCGGAAAACCCACAACTGCGTACAAGAACTGGTTTGCCCTCGTATTTACATTCTGGTTTCCATAGCTCTGACATGTGTGTATGTGTGTGTGTGTGTGTGTGTGTGTGTGTGTGTGTGTGTGTGTGCGTGCGCGCGTGTGTGTGTGCGTGCGTGTGTGTGTGTGTGTGTGTGCATGTGTGTGTTTGTGTGTGTGCATGTGCGTATGTGTGTGTCTACGTGCAGTTCCACAGTCGGTCTCCGACGGTGCCGAAGGAACACTGGCCTTCATGACGAGCTTCAACGATCGGTGAGCATGTTTGCGTTCTAGCCACCATTATCATCTGTCAGCCAGGTGGCCATGAATCTTTTTCGTGTACGGTGCCGTCGGGTGCCGAAGAACGGCCAGGCTTGGATTTCACCAAGTATACTATAAGACACGTTATTTTCGGTGTGACTTTAATTTCGGTGATTTCGGTAGAGAAACCAGGCACCAAAATTTAAATTACACCTACAGTCCATTTCAAAACTATAGACGCGTACCTAGGCAAAAACCGTTATGCCAGCATCTATACCACATAAAATCTGTGATCACTTTGTGCATAATTTTTTCCAAATTGGGCGTCTGTTATCCAATCCTTTAGAAACTATATGAGAGTAATTGTGGAGCGATCCTGAGCAATATTCCGAAAACTATTCTCAAAAAGGTCCAGCCAAATTTGAAATATTTCAAAAACCCTACGCGTCTATAGTTTTGAAATGCACTGTAAAAGGCACTAGAGTATGCACTGTATGTGAAGGGAAAGCTGGTCACCTAATTTAAAATTACACCTCCCAGGTCCCTGGCATCGACATTTTAATACACCCAACCTTACATATTTACAGTACATACGCCCGGGCGAGGACGAGACATGCAGAAGCTTTGGCGATGTGTGCCTCACGATTCCTGAGGAAGCTCCTTTGTAGAGATAGATGGTGGGGCTCCAGACCGCCAAACCGTCAGACGTATTGCAGGTTTGGAGATACTTTGGCCAGGAGCATTGTTGGAGTACTGCAGGAGTGTTTCTAAACGTACAGCTTACTTTAAGAGCTGCGGAAAAGTACTCTTTTGGTCGCCGTTGTACTTTTTTTTAACGCAAGAAGTTTCCTTTCCGGCTTTGTGTGTGTATGTGTGTGTGTGTACGTACTCGTGTGCGTGTGTGTGCATGCTTTGTTGTTGTCGATGTTGCCTTGTTCAATCATTCAGTTTTGGTGAGGTTCATCCGGATTTCTTCATCGGCCCGCTAAATGAAGCAATACAGACGGCGTTTACTGGACCTCCGAAGGATGTAAGTGTTCGCAATGGAGCGATGGTTGTGGGTGGTGCTGGTGCTGCTGGTTGTGATGGTCTAGCTGTTGTTGTTGATGTTGGTGTTGGTGTTGATGTTGTTGGTGTTGGTGTTGTCGTTATCGGTTCTTGACTGCAGCGCCGTCTCCTTGCCGTGTACGTTCACCATGATGAGTCGATTACGGCCAATGTCTTCTGCAGGTCAGTCGTTGTGTCCTGGTGTCGTTGTCTCTTCTTCTATGTGTGTGCACGTGCGCCCGTATGTGTGTATGCATCGGCATGCAAGCTCGTGTGTGTGTGTGTGTGAGGGGGGGGGGGGGGCAGGGGCTTCCAAGTTGCCTTGTCCAGTAAGTAAATTTTTTCATTGGCTCTGTTTTCTTTGCGTGGCAATCTTCCACAGAACTTTTGATTGTGTTTGTGTGTGCGCGCGCACGCGTGTGTGTGTGTCATGCGTATGTGCATGTGTATTGTTGTTGATGGCAGTCAAGTACTTTGCTCCATGTCCTTCATCAACTACCTGAGTTCAAGCTGTATCACGTGGCCATGGGATGTCACTTACGACAGTCAACGGGCCAAGTAAGTAACGTGCTGAACACCCACCCGCGGGGGTGTACACAATATCTCCTCGTTTGCAATTGATGCTACTTGCGTGCACACACGCGCGCGTGCACGGACACACACATCCACACACTAATCTACCGTATATTCTCTGTTATAAGCACAGGTCTCCATTACTAGCACAGTCTCTAATACTAGCACACTGTGAGCACCTTTCGAAACATTATAAGCACAGTCTCTATTATTAGCACGGTCTTGGTGGAAATCAATGCTACATGCATGATATCTAGCATGTATTTCTTCTTGTTCTGTATGGATGTATTGGTTGAACAAATCAAGGTACGGTCTCCAATATAAGCGCGGTCTCCAATATAAGCGCGGTCTCCAATATAAGCACAGGTTAGAGGGGTGTTGAAAAATTATAAGCACGGCGCTTATCATAGAGAATATACGGTATGTCCTTTCGAGGCGTTTGTGGCTTAAACGGCGTTCTCTTACGGACATTTCTAATCTACCGTGCATGCCCGTGAGGCCGAAGTGTACACAGACTTGGGTGATTTCCCAGCTGGTGCTGTTATTCGTTTCTTTGCTTATGTTTCTTGTATGACTCCAGTTTGCTGACGGCCATCAGTCGTAACCTGGGAGACGAGGCATCGCAGGCGCTACGTTTCTCCAACCGCGACTCCTTTCCCACCCTGGTGCTGATCATGCAGACGGGCTTATCGGTGACCTCGCTGGAAGTGGCATCCATTATCCCCGGTTAGTTCGACACTCGCCGTCTACTCTCGATAAGTCATACACCCGTCAGGGGCGTCGAGAGGTATTAGAGAGGTTCTGCTACACAGAACTACGTACCAAACTCCGAGTCAACTGCAACTGCAGTGAAGTTTGACACGGATTTTTTCGTACGTTGCACCGGTTCTGCTGTACGTAGCATGCTCGTAGCATGCTACGTACACTCCGCCACATGTACACGCTCGGTTTTCACACGGAGTCCAGTCCGTGTGAAGCGCGC